ATGACGCCCGAACTGCATGTATAGAGCGGTGGATCATCTCTATCGGACGTCCGTGCCTTCTGACGAAACTTGTTTGATGCAAACAACATCTTGCCTCGTCGTGCTTTCGTCTGTGAACATGCTGACAGTACTCCTCCAATTCTTCCACATCTGCCAGACGCAACATAGTCAGCTTGTTCGCTAGATTCAAGTCGTCTTCCGTTAAAATGTAGTGATCGACATGATTCTTTTGAACCTTAGGCTACCCAACTTTGATCATTATCTTCATCTTCGCCCTGAGTCCAATAACATATAGGCGGTACAGATAATCCAGCGGATTCTTTTCCGACCTTTTCTTCCCATTGTAATACTGGCGGGCAACAGGTACCCCCGTACCACAGAGCCGCATCATGAATTCTTGCACTAGGTCTTGCCAGTTTCCTCGGACTGAGCGACCCAGTGGACAATACCAATTTTGTTCTTGACCAGTCAGCAATCCTCCAATAACAAGACACTACGGCGTTTGATCTCTTGTAAATGCTGTATTGACCGTCGACACCCAGCTGCGCGCTCTGTCTTTGTCTTGGTCTCTCCCATATAATTCTTTGAGATCCGAGGTCGCTAAGAGTTTGATGCGAGGGACCATATTTGGTATCTGTCCCAGCGTGGCATTCGCCATCATCGACTGAGGTCCCCTCAAATTCATGTTGTCAGGGTCGAACTCAAAGGAAACGACGGATTCCATTTCGACGTTGGTCATCGTATGACCTCATGGCATTTGTATGCCTGGGTTCTGTTCATGGTGAGCGGTCGTCCTTTGCATCCCTGGTCTTCCTCCTGTTATATTCTCGTTATGGTGTGCCCGCGGTACTTGACGTTCATTCAAATCTTGCCATAGCCGCGTCGAAGAGGGTCTGCTGATCACCTACTGGGTAGGTAGGCGCTTCCCTACTAGCATCTTCGCCACGAAGCAGAGCAAATTTCTAGTTTTTTCTCTTGCTAATTTTCCTTTTTGCCACGCGTCGCCGTTCGAGAGCTCGTGATTCTTGCTCTGTGTTGCGCGCTCTTGCCTGGAGCAGCGCTGCCCCAGTCGGCCACTGGGGCATCCTAGTGACTGATTCAGTCGAAGACTATCCTGGTGACCACGGAGCTGCTGCAATCTGGTCGCTTGAGATAGGCGTTGCGATGGGCCTTGCTTTACCCCTGAATGGTCGGTGTCTCCATACATTTGAGGGTAGACAGCGATGTCTTGACGCGTCATCTGGCTGTTCTTGAACCGTGTTCGTGTGATTGTCGTCAGAGGTAGGTGTCCCTTTGCTGGCGTGGTACCGACTAGGATCGACAGACGCTTGTGTATATTTTTTAACGTCATTTGTGATTCTGTCGAATCCCAGGGACAACAAGTCGTCCGGATCGAACCGTCCAACGACCATGTTCGCTTCTCGAAGAAGGGTGACCAGAGCAGTGATCGCGTCCGTGACGGTCTGCAGCCGTGGTAGGGTCGACACCGGCCCAGTAAGCTTACCTAGCAGCCGGATCTCGAGGGTCTTCACGACGGGGTCGCTCTCCAGGAATACGTTCAGCTTGCGCTGGTGGTAGTCCCTCGTGACGTCAGCGTCCGACCATGATGCCAGTTCTGACTTCACGGGGCCTGTAGACTTGGTGTTTCCTGGCGCCTTCATCTGGAACTCTGTAGGCTTGGACTGCGCGATCTTGGTTGTTGTTATTTCGGGGACCTTAGGCTTTCGGTTTTCACCGTCGGCTGATGGTCCTCTGTATCATGATAGATATCATGACCCAAGTTGTACTCTACGAGGACATAGCAAGGTTATCTAGGTTTCCCTTCAATAAGTCCAACCTGGACCATATTGACCGGGCCCTTCCCAATGTACGGTCGGTTCTTCGATCCTTTGTTTTTTCTTCTTTAGTTGCTGGTAATCGATGTTCCTGTGACTCTTCGGTCTTGTGCTCATTTTTGACTTGAACATCGTTATCTTCATTGGACTCGCGATTTACCCCGCGTCTTCCGAAAATTCGGGCACGCGCACCATTGTGGTGGAGTGGGGTCTTAAAATTGTATGATGAGACCCCAAACCACTCACTGGGCCGGACTACCGACTGTCGGAGGGGGTATACCGATGTCGCGTATGAACCTTCTCTCACCTTGTGTACCCGTCGGCTGGCGGGTTGCACTCTTCAGAAGACTTGGTGAGGATGTCGACGTCTGCCTTGAGAGAGATAGACATGGGGGGCCTCTAGTGGATATGCCTCTCTCGGTCGGCCGGTAGGCGGCCACTCGATCGACCTTATCAAGAGTGTGTTTAGAACCAAATTCTTCCGGGAGCTTGTCATCCCTTTCCTTTTCCTTGTTGTTCTCAGGGTTATGAACCACCTGACCTTTACTTTGCTCCCGGACCGTGAGGTGAGGGAGTCCGCTTCCGATAGCGGGTCTTGGGGGGTGTTGCTACTCGAACAAACTCACAGGCCAAATATATCCTGGACCTTTATTCGCACTTGAACTTAGCTACATGACTGTCTTCAACGGGGGGGAGGACAAAATATATCCCTTCTCCGGAACAGTTGAGTAGCTTAAAGCAAGTTCTTAAGGACGACAAAGTCGAACCACGTGAGGTTCAGCTCGCACTTGAGTCTAACCACACGACTGTCTTCAACGGGGGGGGCAAAATATATCCCTTCTCCGGAACAGGCGTGTGGTCAGAGTCGATTTCCTTTAAGAGCGAAGAAGACGTGCCAAGCAAATCGCGAATTGAGTAGTATTTATTATATTCCTATCCTTTAAACTCCTTTACTCTATCCTTGCCTGACGCCCTGTTCCCTGTGTTGACTGGTCAGGAGTGGCTGAACCTCGAGGGACCCAGGTCTACTGAAGAGGGATCGGTTTAACTGAAGAAAGACCCAGGCCTACCGCTGAGAGATCGAGGTCTACGACTGAAGAACTGGGGTCTACCACCGGGTCCACCGCTGAGAGACCGAGGTCTACCGATTGAGGACCAAGGTCTGCCACTGAGGGCTGGGGTCTACTGTTGAGATACCGAATCTTCTAATGTTGGACCGGAGCTTTGGATGAAGGGTCGGGCTGACTTCTTTCGGTACTTTTTAATTGGGACTTTAATGATAATGATCTCTCCGTTGATGGTACTTCAAATCATTCCCAGCCAACGGTCGCTTACTCTCGTGGTCATTTTTCTCTCCGTTTCGAAGGACCAAAGGACCGCTACCTGGTAAGCGGTCCTTTGGTCCTTCGATCCAACTGGCCCCTGAGTTTTTCACGTTTTTGGAAACACTTCATTATAACTACCACAGCCGGAAGTGCGTCATTGATATACAGATAGCCAACCTCCTTCAAAGTCCACACATAATCAAGTATATGTGGTGGAGAGGGATTCGCAAGATTGCTGATGCGATCCCAACTCTCCACTGGCGCCCGGACGACCGACTAACGGAGGGGGTACCCCGATTCCGTGTGTATAGCCTTCCTCACCTTGTGTACCCGTCGGTAGGGCGGGTTGCTCTCTTCTCGGTAGACTTGAGTCGATGTTGAACTTGGTTGTGTTAGGGATAGGTGGGGGCGATCGCGTGGAATTCCTCACACGATCGCAGTTGTTCTTGGGGTGCTCTATTTGAGTCGCCCTGATCTCCCTTGAGATCGCCTTGTCCAAAATGTAGATACTTGATCCGCTTGCCTTCTGACCACTTGAGCCGTCTCGCGATCTTGTATCTGGACTTCTTAGTCCTCTGCGTCCAATCGCAGCTTGAGTTGTTTTGTTGAGAATTCTTGCAATCCCTGGCCAAACAATCCAGGGATATGACTTGCGTAGTAGGTAGATTTCCTTGAGACGTCGGGAGGCCAAAGAATCCAGCCCGGAAGAGAAGTCGACACGTGTACTTAGAAGCAAATTGAACTCTGTTAATGTTAACCAATCAAATACCAAAACCTATGATCTTGACTATCTGTAGCTCAGGATCTGTTGCCACGTATCGCCCTTTCGGAAAAAATCAGATCTCGGAATGTGGTCCACTCCAATATAGCCGCGATCTGGATCGCTACCTCACTCGGATATAATACCATTTTAGTACCAGATCGCGGTACTAAATAATTAGTACCAGATCGCGGTACTAAATAATTAGTACCAGATCGCGGTACTAAATAATTAGTACCAGATCGCGGTACTAAATAATTAATACCAGATCGCGGTACTAAATAATTAATATCGGATCGCGATCCGCCGGATCACGACTTGTCTTCTTCACCGTTTCTCAGGTCATGTGAGATAGTTCATCAATGTGACATTTCATATCCACCATTCCAGTCCTCCATAGCGACGTGATCCACACCAGACCGTCCTCCACATGCTTGGATGTACCCATCTTCCTCCTTAGCGACCGCGTTCACGCGGATCGCCATCGGAAATACTGGAGATCGCAATAGCGTAGTTTCTAGGCCATATTTGACCCCACATAGAAGTGCAAACTACTCCATTCACTGTTTTCCATCCTATTTGACATCGTCTTGAAACCTTTCTGCGAGATCGCGACTCATCAATATTGGCCACGAGATCGCGACTCATTAATATTGGCCATTTCGGACTTAACCGAAAATATGCGATCACACTTGGCGAAATTCACTCTTTCACTTCGCCACATATAGCTTATTCACTTAAAAGGCGAAACCAATCGATAACTGGTTTTTATGTTTGTGCATCCGACGAAGATGCAGCAACGTCATCCGGAAAGAGGAAGAGGACCGTCATATGCTTGAGCTAGCATCATGCAAGCTCAAGGTTTCCGAGAGGGCGTTACCTCCACCCGATTAGAATGACCACGATATGAGCTTATTTATGCCGATCAAAGAAGAGACATCATATGAATATAATCATGTTTTTTATGTACTAGACACAATTTCGAAGTAATAAACGACTTTAGTCCATTTCGCTCCATTGATTTATGTTAAGGTATTTTACACTTAGATTCAGTATTTTCTCGATCTGCGTCAACCTATTATGGCTGCTGACCAAGCTAAAGACCGCGGTAATCGCGCCTTCTCTGCGGGCCTCTACACCGATGCAGTAGCTTGTTTCTCCGAGGCGTTAGCCATTGCCCCCTCCGCTTCCAACGCTCATGTTTTCTATAGCAATCGCTCAGCCGCACAGCTCAAGCTTCACAAGGCTGAGGAGGCACTCAAGGACGCAGACCAGTGTATCTCGCTCAAACCCAACTGGCCCAAGGGATACTCACGTCGTGGTTCTGCTCTGTACGCTCTGCATCGTTATGCTGACGCTTATCGAGCCTACAAAGACGGTCTAAATTATGAAGCATCAAACGAGGGGCTTCTCGAAGGTTTACGATCCGTGGAAGCCAAATTATCGACACAAGGAGCTGGCACTTCATATGGAGCGTCTACTTCGACTTCTTCACCGCCTTCTGCAGCAGCTACTTTGCAAAGTTTTCTGCTTGGTAGCAAGATAAATATGTTTCAGTTGTACCAGTTCGTGCTGCGCAGTCTCTTACTGCTTTGCTTTGTCAACTTTTGGATTCCTGTTCTACTGTCGAGCTATGGGGCGTATACCAACTTTCTCAAGCTGGCATTGATCAACCACGCCAGCTACTTGGCCTTCACTCACGGAGTCCCTAGGTGGAGTGCTGTCTATGCACAGCGGCTCATGCTGGACCCTGCAGTGCAGGTTTTTTTCTTCTGTTTCGTGTTTTGGTTCTCGGATCCACATGGTATGGCAATGATCCCGGTCTTCTTGCTGGAAATGGTGCACTATTTTGCATACTTGCATTCGCTCCTACAAGTGCTGGGACTGGCAGACTCGATGGTGGTGACACTTGTGACAAGCAAGGTACTCGTGCCTCTCACTTCCGTAATCATCACTGACCCCAGCTTTTCAACACTGACGACTCGTGCCAAGTGGGCCAAATTGTACACTCGCATGCCTCAAGTGGCGGCAAATGTTGATGTGGCGATAGGCATCGCGTTGCTTTTGGAGATGCTCCTACCCTCGCGGAACTTCCTGCTGCTTGTGTTGTACTGGCAGGTGCTGCGTATCCGCTACATGGTCTCGCCACAGCTTCAAGAGGCCTTCCGCTCGTTACACGGCACAATTCTCACGCTTGTCAACCACCCGCGCTGTCCTGCTGTATTCAGCGTTGTCTATGGGAAGATCCACGCATTTGCCGTCAAGATGAGCGACGCGGCTCAGCAGCAACAAGGTTCGTCTGGCGCTGGTGGCCTGGCCTCGCGCTGCAGTATCATGTAGACGACAGAACCAATCATGAGATGGAGTTTACGGGCGCCGTGCCGATAGACAGGTGGATGAATGGTATTACGACTAGCGAGGTGACCAGGGGCACATTGTGTTGAATTGATTATCTTATAGGACCCAAAACTGCAGTCTTTGGTGTTTTGAGCATCGATATTGATGTGGTATTGAAGCATGGGAACGATGAGTCAGCTTGCAATCAGCTAAGCAACAACGCAACGCCTTCAGATGGCAAATAAACTAACTGTAGCTAGTCAAATACGTCATGTCGGCAGTTGTAAACGCGGAACTCCACCGACGACAATAGATTCGAACAGTTTGAGAGCGTGGCCAGCATAGCGTCGTCATCTTCGCCACCGCAAGTACATGCTGTGGAAACTTTGCAGCCTTGTCATAGTAGTAAACTATACTAATCAAACGGCGTCTACCAAAGCGATGTAAGAAACGCAACTAGACACAACGTGAGTATAAAGCAAGGCGAAGCAACTTGCTTTCAGATCATCTGAATCAGATGTGGCCGTAAAGTGCCTGTTCCCGGAGCTCTTTGCATGGTTGTGGATGTTTCATTAGACAGATTGGCCTTGTTAACCAAATTCGTTTAGTGTATAAGAAAAGGTAAAATATAGAGACTTGGCAGGTTTGCAAGCCAGTGACACCAGATGAAGACACTGTGCGGTGAGGATACATCTCGTATACATATCTCATCGGCAGCTGTGCACTTCAAGTTGCACTTTCCAATGGTCGACACCTTCATCGCAATGGGAATGACCAGATATTGTCGCAACAGCTGTACACGCAGTGGCGCGCATATTCTACGGTGTGCATTAAGAGAATGTCTTAATGGCAGTTACGAGTCGTAACAAATTGAGGTGATTGCGGATTTGTCGCTGGTTTTTGGCTACCTCGCTTACGATTTGCCACGCTATAGTTTATATACGTCAGGCTTGTTCACGAGTATGTGTCAATATGCAGTAGTAATAGCAGTCAATACATTCGACAAAATTGCTAGTCCTACTTTCTACTACTGTTGGGGGCAGATGGAGAAGGATCCCACGCGGGAGCGCTTAGACGCCGCAGGGTCGACGCAGCCACTGACAGAAAGCGCACGCATGCGCTTCGTTGGTGAAATTACAGATGTGTCGCTCTCACTATTTGTCGCGGGTGAGGTCGGCGTACTGATTTCGGTGGATTCCTTCTTGATTTGTGCTCCTTCTATTTCTTTCCTGATGTCCTCAGCAGAAGATTCGTCCTTCTTGGTAACCCCAGCTTTCTTGTCGCGCTTCTTCTCGTTTCGATTGGCTTTGTAGAAAAAGTCGAGCAACAAGCCTACGGCATTGGCGTCTTCGACATCTCCCTCCTTGTCATCATCCCCTGGCTCGTACATCCCCGTATGACGGGGTTTGAGAGGCACGGGTCGAGATCTATGACCAAACGATGTGGGACGCACGTCGAGTTCGTCTGGCATGTCTTCTCGATTCTCTTTGAGTCGCTTGATAAAGGCCGCCTCCAATGCTACCAGCTCAAGCTGCGCCTGCATGATTCTCACTCGAGACTCGGGCGTAAGGCTACAGGGACGAAAGACCTGCTTGCCAATGCATTCACCGCCCGTAAACTTCTTGGTGATGCGCATCGGCTCGCAATTAAGCTTTTGTGAGAGATACAGACGTAGCATAGTGCCTCTCTCTAGCGGTAGCAGTCCCTCCTTGAAGTAACTAGTCAGTTGGGCAGCATAGCGGCTTTCTTCCTCCGTCCACTTGCCCTTGCGAAGCCCTGGACGAGCCTTGCTCTTGGTGGACCGGCTGGAGAGCTTCGGAGTGCGCGTGCGCTTGGGCATCATCTTTTTGGGCTGCTTCTGATCATTTAGTGTAGGGGAGAGCTCCTGCTGCTCCGTCTTCATGCAGTCTCGCGGATACAGCATCGAGTGATTCGGCTGAGGCTCGCGTTCTGGTTCATGCATGTTGAAGGTAGACTGATTGGTGGACGGGACAGAGGACGAAAAGCCCGCTCCATTGTGGCTAAAGCTGTTGCCGTTGGGGATAATGAAGCGGAGCGGAGCAAGCGTCGATGTTTGCGAGACGGTACTAGGCACTGCAGAGCGCTGGAAAATGGTCGGCTGTGACCGCATGGCTGCAAATGGTGGTGCAGGCACCGCCGACGAGACGATTGGAGCTGAGAAGCTACTGTTGGTACTGCTACTGCTGACAGTAGCGCTACTGCTGCTGTTGGAGGACGAGCTCTGATGGATCAACGATCGCATGTCCATACTTTATTTAGTCGTCGATCAAGATGAAGCCTGTCTGATACTCACGTTGGCTCAAGTGATCCCTGAATTATAAAGTGCGCCTCAATTCAAGACCACCGGCTGGAATAACGCGTCCTACGTAATATTCCCTCCCCTTATCCCCAATGGCGTCAGCGAGACGCTTTTCATCCAATCGTGGTGGGCGTATCGTCAATTGAGCTTGAAGTGTAAGATCGACGCTGAAAATCGGTCGAGTCAAACCATAGGCTACTTTACTTCTTCAACAAAAAGCGTCCATGCACTACATATATATCAGTTTCAAGGCTATGGCAGTTTCAAGGCTATCAGTTTTAGTTGTGCTGCCAATGCCGCTTCAAGTATAGGCGAATCTTCTTGCCCTTTACTACATTATGCGATCAAATCTCTAGTGCAAAAAAGATGCGATATAGATGGTTCACTTGCCCTCTTTCTGTGCGACATTGAAGCGGTCCACTTAAGATTCATTACGCGCATTTTTGACCAATACGAGAAGCTCGAATCGTCAGCGTTCTGGTCTCCACTCATTTTGTCATCAGACATAACTAAGACGGCAAGGTGTTAGGCGACCACGTCCTCGGGAACCGAGGCAGCTAGCACAATTAGCCTTTTACTTGACCTACGTGACGTTAATCATCTCTAACAACGTAGGCTGCACTGCCTTTACAAGTACAGTTCTTGGCAGAGAGCTTAACGGTGCGACTTCAATAGCCTGCTCTTGCACCGTAATAATTATTTTTTTCCTCGTCCAATGCGGTGGTCTCTGCCGCGTTTTGAGCTCATAACCTGTACCTGGCCACGTTTATATCGTCGAGCGTATCGTTTGTCGCAAACTGTGCCTCCCGTTAAGGCACACTCGCCATTCGTCCCAACTTCAACATTGATATCGAAGTAAGAAATTGAACATGGATTCCCTCGCCTACCCCTCCTTCACGTACGGTTGTCGCATTGCGCAGCGTAGTGTTGAAGTGCTTCGCGGCCTTTGCATTTACAAATTAGATTTGCAACCTGCTTCTATCATAAAGTACTATTGATGGTAAACCTGCTACATTGCAAGCGGTTGCGCTTCCTAGTCACACAAATTGTAACAAATATAGCACTGTTAATGACAAGCATGTACCTCTTCAATACATGCCCAAGATGCCGTAAAACAACTTTGTAGGCGATCGTTGTCATTAGAAACGCTTTTTTGTCATCCAAAATTCGCGCATTATAAAGCGCAGTGTTAGCTTATAAATGGCTAGGAGGCATGGCAAGCATCCACTACACAACACATCTAGTTAACACCCTCAATCCGTGGCAGATTAATCACTGGCACTCGTGAAGAGACTCGCTGTCGTAGTTTCTGCTGCGGATGGTAGGGTGAGTAGTGATGCTGTCGCAGAAGATTCCCGTGCATGGCCCGACGACCGCATTGCGTGCATGAGCAGATTACCTCACCAGTTGATGCATTCCCCAGCCAGAAAACCAGATCCGTCCACGGGATCTCGTCGGTACACGGCTCACGTGATGGCTCCACCTTGGTCCAGTAGCTCGTACTAGCTCTTGTCGACGGTGTTCGACCACATGTAGAGACGCAACTTTCTTTTATTGAACGTCTGCTGTTGTGCGTCAAGAAACCGGTAGGGTCCAGTGCCAAGATCGTTTCAGGCGTCGTGGCCTCTAGGAAGTTTGGTGATAAGCTCCATAGTGCTGCGTCGTTTAGACTCTGACTACTACATGGCGGCGTCGACTTCAACTGCTTGTATAAGGGGAGCATAATTTTTGGGTAGCTGGTGCGATGTACGTACAGCCCCTGTAGTTGAAGAGGCAGAGAGATTGGGCTACTTTACGACAGAGAGAATTGAAGAGTGACAGACGCAGCACATGCGCAAGCGTCGCAATGCGACTTTCCACGACGTACAGCTCTGCTCAGTGCTTATGATTAAGGTTGAACGTAACGTTATATGTTTCAAGCTTAACGTGGCTTGTAAATCTCCGTGTTTTCTAGTCACGAAACTTCCTATTACGTGTAAACCTACTACAACACAAGCGACTAAATTTGTGGACCGTCCGATATGTCACTCAACGCTACGTTGAGTACAGATGGGGGCCAGATAACTCGTTCGAGTTCGTGATATTGGTGATTTTACCCTCATCACTGGCGCAGCGTTTCTAAATGACATTCTAGTTCTAGGTACCTTTTGTTTACTTCAAACCACCACTTCAACATGGAACCACTTCACGTCAAGGTTTTGTAATTATTATTGCTTAAAGAGACGAAATACCTTGAAAAAAGTATACAGGGATGACACGCACTAGACACAGTATCAAATCCAGCTTTTACATCATTCGTACAAAAACAGCGCCTCATCTTTCAGCATGACGCTATCGCCAGAGCTACCTCGAGTACGGCACGATGCCGAGTCCAGCTCAGCCTCACTCATGTTTTCCACGTCCTGACCATGCGTCGGCAAGACATTGTCTTTGAAAGCAGCTGTAGAAAAAGACTGCACTGTCACGCTAGGATGGTTTGTCTGAAGAACCAGGTCCGACAGGACATGTACACTGTCGCGACGGTATATGCTCACGGAAATGCCGTGTCGTTCACGCATAATGGGGACCAAGAGCTGTGTGAAACCCGCTGCGATCTCACTCTTCAAGTGCGTCAGTCGCAGAGGCGTAGCTCGACCCGTGCCACGAATTGCATTGTGCAGCCAGTCTGTAAGCCTCATGATCTTGGACTTGTCTGTGCTCCAATGATCCAGCAAACACCGGATTAGCGGTGAGTTCAGATCACCGGGTGGTGCAGGGAACGGTGCCGTCTCCTCCGTCCATTTTCCACTCTCACCGCCATCCACTAGGTTCTTCATCTGTTTCTCTTTATCATCCGTATCCGAGGTAGCGTGAAGTGCAACATAATCGTCCAGTTGCTGGCTCAAACGCCGGATCTCTTCCTGTGCAGACTTGTTGCATTCCTCTAAAGCCTTCTGTGAAGCGACTGCAGCACACCACTGTACTTTCGTGTGACGCAGCATTTCCTTTGACAAATTATACTTCTCGATGATATTCTGCAACTTGCGACTCAATCGTTTGTTTGCCGTCTCATTTGACTCTACGCTTTTGCTAGACGAGTTCAATTCTGCCGAGCCATTGCTACTGATACTGCTCGCTCTTTTAAGCGCCTTTTCCAGCATCTCTTCTCCTGCGTTCTCGATGGGTAAATATGGCAGGTCCATGGCAGCTCGAAGTTCGCGCAGCTCAGCTTCAAGCTTCATATTAGCCTCAATGAGCACGTCACGCACCGTGACACCCAACGCTTTCGGGTCAGCCTCCTCTGATTGCTGCGAGCACGTGCAATCCGCCGCAAACGGACTCGACTCGACGATCTTCTTGTATACCAAGTTTATCGAACGCAAGCTGTCCAACACAGCTTGCTCCTCCATCCGCTCTTCACGCAAAGTCTCATTGGCGCTCTGCAGCTTTTCGTTTCGTTTCTCAAGCCGTTCAATGTGAGCCACGTACTCCGGCAGCTTAGTTACTCTGCGACGCAGCGTATCAACCTCTTTACGTAAGTTTTTAACCTCCATAGCATAAGCTTCTTTCTCTTCCGATGTGGTCTGCAGACGGCGCTGCAACTCCTCATAGTCCGAGAAAGTAAAGACGCTCGCTTGATTCAAGTCGTACGTCGCTGCTGGATTTACTACAGCAAAGTCTTGCTCTGTAGCCCTCACCTTTTCAGCTCCCTCTTGCTGTTGTCTTAGCTTCGCCTGTAACACAGCAATCTGATTCTCAGCCGACGTCTTGTTAGCTTCGGCGTCCACCACCTGCTGCTTGAGAAATTCTTCTTTCTCCAGTAGACCCGTCACTAGGACTGACTTGGCCTTAAGCTCGTTGTGAAGAGTATTAGTCTCCAGCAATAAATCCTTTCGGTTCTCCATCGCGCTGGCCAAATCCTGCTCACGATCGGTTAATTGTGTTCGGAGCTTTGGTAGCTCGCTCTCTAGCACCACCACGTGCTCTCGCAGCGCAGACATCTCATCATTGAGCGCTTGATTTATCTCTAGTAATTGGATCCCAGCACGCGCGGCTTTACGCAAAGCTTCCTCTTCGTCCAAATCCAAGTCAAAACACTCGGACCCTCGGACTATTCCGTTATGACAAAAATACACAAATTATTAGTATAAAATATATTATTTTTTTGTTATGAAAACCACAATAAAACCTTATAGAGTGCATTGAATCACACAAGTAAACAAGGACGTACATGTATAGGAGTACCGTGGATCGTCATCCAATGTCGGGCTAGAGGATAAAGCCTTTTGCATTCTCAACAAGTGTGCGACTCGATACTAAAGACGTTGTGAGGCTCCTGGATGAACTTTTTGAAACAAAAAAAACTGCTGGAATATACAGCAGCTGTCTAGTATGTGATGATTAGTATGATTTAATACTGTATGTACACTCAGGAATCTTAAATTAAAAGTTGCTGTGTACCGTTTCTGCACTTGCGGCAGAGACTCCATATACTGCATAAAATTCTGGTCCGTGTCTATTTTATAGTCCGATGGTTTGTAGCAGCAGCGTCGTGAGTAGCGAAGACATGGCCGCGTCGCTCAAGAAAGAACTGCGGCGCCGCATTGCATCCACGCTAGAGACACTGCCCGATACTGAAGTGGCAGAGCAGAGCCAATTGCTGATAGAAAAAGTATGTGCGCTACCAGAGTTTGCACGTGCTCGTGGAATCAGCGTATACTTGGAGATGCCCAAGGAAGCGGCTACGTCGAAGCTGTTAGAGGCCGCATTTGCAGCTAATAAGAAGGTGTTTGTGCCCAAGATTACGGGTCGGTCGGCAGATGATCTTCAGATGCTACAGACGCAGTCTATGGAGGACATTCGAAGCTTTCCCAAGGTCGGTGACACATTTGATACTTTGATACAATGCGAGGCAGTAGGAGACTCATGCGTGACCGGATCGGCTGCAATTTGGATGGAAAATTATGTAGGACAAGTGGCAGATACCAGACCCACCTTTGCTTACGGATAGTGGTGTGCCGCGTGACGACGCTGTACGAGGTGACGAACTGGAGCTTGTGCTGTTGCCTGGTGTAGCTTTCGATCGTCGAGGAGGACGTCTTGGCCATGGAAAAGGATACTACGGTAAGATTGAAGCAGCAAGAAGGTATGAGTGAGATTACTGCTGACTGTGAATTGTGATGCTGTATCGGTTGTAGACTCGTTCCTGCGCCGCCTGACGGAGCACTACGATGACATCGGACATCCACCTCCTACGACCATTGTACGTTTGTTGTCTCAATGATGAGTTACTTGTACTAATAGATACAACTGTTGCAATTACAGGGCCTTTGCCTAACACCACAGCTCGTAGATAAAGTGCCACTGGCAACGCATGATCAGATGCTGGATCTGGTTGTGACTCCGCACGAAGTCATTCGTGTCAGTCCGCTCTAATTGCTAATCACAATCTGCTCATGATTGACTGAAGACGTTGAATATGAAGTTTTGATTAAGAAAGTCACAGTTTGGTAACGATAGTCGAAATGGGGAGAGGTGCGTGCTCTTGGGCGTGTTGTGTCTGTTGTTGTGTGTGACTACTGCGCTAGTCTAGACTTTGTACGAGACATTGGGTGTGTCGTCGACCGCCACTTCGTCTCTGAATGAAGCGAGCGTACGTAATTGAAAAGAATACAACGATATTCAAACGTCATTCAGCTGATTCTAACTACACGTGCTAATTCCTTGTTTATCTACGCAGATATTGTAAGCTGTCACTCAAGTACCACTCAGATAAGCGGACGAAAAAGGAAACAGTGATACCATGATGGCATATTTAGAGTTCTAATGATTCGGTAGCACTCTATGATACATGACAACTAACTTCATCTTGTTTTGTGTGATAGGTAGGCCCAGCAAAGCCTGGCAAACAACAGGCTCACGAAGAAAGGAGAATCAAAGCTTACGAAGACGATCGCCAAGACGTGTAAGCATTACGTCGATGACCTACTGCGTGCGCGTCCATGGATTGGTACATTTGTTGCAGAGTGCAGTGTGATTAATACGCTGACTCACTACTTGCGTTGATTGTATTCTGCTCAGATAGAATTCGATAGCAGCTATAGCTGCAGATAATCAAATGATGCGTGTTTGTGCGTTAACCTTACATGGAGCTGCTTACGAAAAGCACATATCTTTCATCATACGTTTAGCTCACTTCACCAGTCCGCATAGTCGTCACTTTCACCAGGACAGCCGCCTCCAATTGACTAAAGATACCTGTTGTCGTCGTATTCGCGCTCAAATTGACACATGCAGATCTATGAATTGGAAACGGGATGTTTACAACAAGCACTGCATTGAAATTCGACATTCGCTACATTCGCTTACTTCTTTGCGATAATTGGCAAGGAAGCAGATTGTACATTTCTTGCCACGAGCTCATTGAATCGGAATGCCCAAGAAACGGTTCATTTATTGGCGACAAACTTCTGTCTGTGCTTTCCGTTGGTACTGATAGCTACGGAAAACGTAAGAAGACGCTGAAAAAAAGTTGGAATGACATCTAGGTTGAAGTCACAGTCCAATGAACGACGGTCAGCAATTTAGTTGACGGGCTGCTTAGCCGCCTCGTCGAGGATGGAGAAGTAAACTTGCGGCTTCTCCTGAGTCGTGGCGTACAATTCTTCAGTGGCGTGAGCAAGACGCAGCATGGTGTCCTCTTGCCAGTGATCCGTCTGGAACTGGATGGATATGGGCAATCCACGAGAGTCGTAACCGATCGGAACAGCCACACCTGGCACGCCAATGAGATTACCATAGACACTAAAACGGAAAATGTCTCCGATCTGCTGCGCGTTCAGTTCACCAACTGCAAACGCCTCCACCGGGATCTCAGGAGCGGTGATACCAGTCGAGGGCGTCACGAATGCGTCCACTTTGCTCAACACGTTATCTTGGAATTGACGCAATGCAAACGCTCGAACACGCTGGGCTGCGAGAAAATCCATGGCTGTAAAGCTTCGACCGTAGTTCAGAATGACCTGCACTTCCGGAGACAACTCACCGAAACGCTCATAGTACTTGTCGAGACTTTGGGCGATTTCGGACGAAATGGTGATGCTATGTGCAGTGTGGATAGGTGATAGATGATGCAGTGGTGTCTCCGCTAAGGTAGCTCCACGAGCTTCGAGAGCTTTAAGAGTTTTGGCTACAGTCTCAGCGATCTCTGGCGATGAGTGGTTGGTGTAATCGCTAAAGTAGCCGATGCGAATGCCCTTTAGCGAAGCCGTGCTCTCGAAAGAATGCAAGTCCACAGAAGGCTGCGTCATGCCTTGAGGGAAGGAAGTCGCATCTTCACCACTCATGATAGCGTAGCCGATGGCAGCATCACGAACGGACCCTGCAATCGGACCGATGTGCACAACTGATGGACAGTTCGCTGCCGCGGAAGGTACACGCTGGAAAGTGGGTTTGATACCGACGACGCCACACATTGAAGAAGGGATACGAATGGAGCCGCCTCCATCCGAGCCAAGCGCCAACGGCACTAGACCTGAAGCTACCGCTGCAGCAGAACCACTGGATGATCCACCAGTATAGCATTTAGGGTTGTATGGGTTACGCACAGTACCGTAGTGCATGTTGTAACCAGTGACACCCGATCCTAATTCGTGCATGTTGGTAGTCCCAAGAATGATAGCTCCAGCCGCGCGGAGTCTCGCCACCGGTAGGTCATCCTCCGTCGCAGGTTCTTCTTCATATCCTAAGAAAGACGTGCCTAAAAACATTCGATGGCCCTTGACGTGCATTACGTCCTTAATAGCCACAGGTACTCCATCAAGCACACCCAGTGGCTCTCCACGCGCATAGCGCTCAGTCGATGCTTTCGCTTGCGCCAGAATTTCCTCGTCGTGTTTCTCCACAAACAAATTCAACGAAAACTCACTCTGCTGATTGTTCTCCACTGCAGCCAATAGAGCTTTTGCTACCTGCAAAGGCGTCACCTCATTAGACACATAACGTGACGTGTAGTCCCCGATGCTCCAGTGCTTGAACGTGGCGTCTGCGTTCTTGTCTCGTACACCTTTTCTAGTAAATTCCTCCAGTGACAACGGCTCTTCACCTTCCAGTAATTGCCTTTTATCACTCTTCTTAGGGATCAGATAGGGATAATACAGCGGTAGATCAGGAATCGACGCTGCAAACCTGACAATATAACAATGATCGACAAATGTTACGATAAGAGATAGAATATCACAATAATCTTGTTAAATATTGCAATCTTTTTCCGTACTTTCGAACCTCCAAAATCTTATTCTCTTTAGCCAATTGACTGCACAAGATACGGCCAAAGACGGGGAGACGGGAGAGAAATGCCATCGCCTCAAGCGACTTTCCGTAGAGCACAGGGGACGATAAATCCAATAGATCGTAGCCGCTATTGACCACCCATTGACGCTTCAGTACATTAAGAGGAGGAAGGGCCACTTGGTCGCCCAGCATTAATACCACACTAGATAGCAGCACCACAAACGCCACTGGAATGAAAGCCGACACCATTATTGGCGAGTTTTAAATTTTTACAACAATAAATGTATTGTATTGCTGATATACTTGAAAAAGTTCGTATTACGGTACTATTGTATGTCGACAAGTAATCAAGTTATTGACTTCAAATTCGACGGTCAAAGATAATACACGTCCGCTTTTCAAGTCAAGTGTATAAAGTTTAAGAGACTTGGACTTGCTCTATTTACCCAGTCCACTATAAATGCCATTACTAGCACCATCTCTCTTGAACTCGGTCGTCTCACAGGCCACGGGCGTGCAATCGATACGCGCTCGACTGCTTTCTACTGCATTATCGCTTGAAGAAGAGGACGACGATGTGGATGACGTTGAGACTGTTGATCTGCGCTCAACGCTGTCGTCGTCTGTCGCGTCTTCTGGAACTCGTTCGCACTCGACGGGTGAGTCGTACGCGCAGCTGGAGATGGACTTTAATGCAGCGGTTCTGTTTGTTGAGAGTTACCAGGGACCACATCGTATTCTGACGCAGGAAAATTCATCTCCGAAGAAAAAATTGTACGCTTTCTATCAACAGGCTACAGTTGGGCCATGTCCGACCACGACGTCGTCTGTTGGATTGAGTGAATTGGAGCTGTCAAAGTGGAAGAAATGGCAACATTTGGGGCACATGACAAAACAGGAAGCAATGAAATGTTATATGACGGTACTGGACGATCTCGTAGATGATTGGCGACGTAGCGCCAATGTGTGGAGCAGCTCAATGGGAACAAGTGACGACTTTATTGATCGACGGTCAACTGATGGAGACACTGCGACGCCTAATCGACTGAAGAGGTCCATTAGTATGTTTGAGCATTTACCCTTGATGAATGGGAAACTGAGAGAATTGCAGGACCGGGTAGAGGATGAGGCCACGAAACGCAACGAGCTGGAAACCCACTTGCTTCACGTTACGCGGGATACCCGCGACATGTTTGTCGAGCAGAATGGGCAAATGGAGCAGATTTGCAAGAACTTAATGACACTAGTCAAGAATCTAGAGGATAATGTCATGCAACACTCGACCGAGTTGCAGCGATTGACAATGTGGCAGCAACAGGTGATGACACAAGCAGAGAATTCAATCTCGGTAGCTGTGAAAGCTCGTGTGGGGCACGTGTTGGTCATTCTTAAACGGTGGCTGCAAAAACGCTCGATCCGTGCGGCATTCGTCGTCCTCATTGGAGTACGTATGTGGCACTTTGTATGGCGTCACCGCTTACCGCAATTCCTGGTGCAACTTCTCATTCGCTGTTTAATCAAAGTGTCGTCCTTGGACGGGAGAAACAACAATCGTCAAGTTTTGTAGCCGTCCATTTGTATCAGTTAGCAAGCAGGTCGTATAGTTGCAGCTTTTGGCCCTGATTTTATCGATCATTAGACCCCAATCGTAGATTTTACAGTTTCTGCCATACTTAAATCAAGATAAAATCCCCTCATTTGAACATGTTTTGCGCAGAGTGTGGTCACCGCTGGGAACCCGATGAGATCGCCAATGCACGCTTCTGTGCCGAATGTGGTGCCCCCCGTGAAGATGTCGCTCCTCCTTCTGAATCGACCGCTAACTTGTCGTTGTATTCAGCTCCAGCATCAACTGCTGCCACCGAATCCAGTTCATTTGGCACGTCATCCAGTTACAAGTCGGTGACGCCGTCGTATTCGACGCCTATGACGTCCTTAGCGTCAAATTACAGCGCACTGACGTCTACTGTACCGTCAATTGCTAAGAGCAACAAGTGCATGCAATGTGGAGGGTCATTTGGAGACTCGACCGCCTCATTTTGTGAAGAATGTGGCGCTTATCGCTCTGCAAAAGCTTCAGTTCCAGTAGCAGCACATGATGATGGCGGAGGAAGTCTTTTTGGTGGGACTTCTATGTCGTACACGACTCCTGTTTCAGCTGCAGTGACATCTCAAGCAGGTTATGGAGGGAACGCGTCTTTTACATCTTCCAATGTGAGTTACAACCCGCCGTATGCTGGAAATTCGACTTCAGCAGCTCAAGTGCCGACTCCAGCAGCTCAAGTGCCGATCACAGCTCAAGTGCCGACTCCAGCAGCTCAAGTGCCGACTCCTATGCGTGACCCGTATGCTCCACCTGCCGCTTCTCCTGCGTACGATCCGTATGCTCCACCTGCCGCTTCTCCTGCGTACGATCCGTACGCTCCACCGCAAACACCAACAAGTTCAGTGGACCCTCCGGCTTTGGTGAATTTGGAGGCTGGGGTTTCGTCTGGTAGCAGTATCAGCAAGTTGCTGGCAAATCTATCGGTTCGAGCCACTCCTCAAGGTGAAAGTGATGAACCTGATGGAAAAGGCGTTGGAGTGATCATCCGACAGGTCGTGCGTACGCGTAACATGGACTCGTTGAGTACAAGATTAAACATCTCGAACGCTGTTGAACGAAACCGCACCAACGCCCAGCAACGCAGTGAAGGTTACAATGTGACTAAGGTGAACGAGACGATTACGGTCGTCCAGAATGAACGTGCGGATCCTGTTGAGGAGCGCTACTATAACCAGCGTACGCTGCCGGACAATGGCGAATGGCTGCAGATCCTGCGCAAGAACCGACAGGCTGGATCCAAGTTCACTGATCCGCAGTTCCCGCCGGACGCATCTTCGATCTTCCGCGATGTCACGAACCCGAAGTACCCGCATTTGCACGAATACGTATCAAAATGGAAACGAGTGACGGACTTCTTTAATGAGACGGCGTATGTAGAGATTACTATGCTGGACGATGAGAAAAAGCTGGTGTGTAGTATGTCCATTAAGAGCGCTGCTGAGGCCGAAAGTATTTTGCAAGTGATGCGTCAAAATTCTACGCCCATTGACGCGCCATTTCTCAGAATCGCCAAAGACGCAGTGACGACGGGTGTCACGAAACGCAAGCGTGATCATTTGATGCTGCTAACAAAGAATATGATTGTGCACATGAGCGAGTTTGTGCAGGATGGACTCCAGCGCTTTGACTTGATGTGGGAAAAGAGCTTGTTGGATCACTACAAACCGCTTGCTTTTGCCAGTGTTGGAGAGGGATCCGGCTACCGTGTTGATGGATCCGAGTCTGGAATGGTGTCTCGCGTCTCGGTGTTGGTGCCCGTGTACTTCCATGCGCAGGGCACGTGTCTCTTTGACCGTTCGCGCGAGTCCAAGGCTGCTAGTCGTATCTCGGGGGTGGGCATTAGCCCTGGAGAAATGCGCGTGGGACGACTTGCAGACGCTTACGTCTTTGGGGCACTATCGATTGTGTCTACGTCGCAGCTCGCTCTGTCACAGATGTTTCCTGAGCTAAGCGATGATTTAGTGCGCCCAGATCGTGTTGAGATTGGCACCATGTTCCCGAAGGAGCAACAGTATAATGAAGAGGGTGTGTATGCTGTGCGTTTCTGGCGTAACAACCGAAGCCGTGTGGTTGTCGTTGACGATTACATTCCGTGCAGCCAGTACGGCAAGCCTGTCTTTGGTTCTTTCACAGGAAGCAACGGCAAGTTTGAGATCTGGTCATTACTGGTGGAGAAAGCTTACGCAAAGCTACACGGTGGATACGAGGTGATTGTTGGGGGACAAGAAGGCTACTGCTTGCAGGATCTGTACGGTGGTGTACCAGCGCGATACAAATTGCAAGAAAAGTGCCCTAACGAAGAAAATGCGTGGCAAACAATTAGCAGTGCACTTCAGTCGGGCTCCCTCATTGGATGCAGCAACGAAGAAATGGGAGCTGAACTGCCTATGGGGCTCCGGAAAACTGATGCTTACGGTATTATGAAGCTAGTGGAGTTGGACTATCAGGGAGAGCCCACTCGCTTGGTGCAGTTGCGTAACAGTTGGGGTATTGGAACCCACCAGCAGCCGGAGAAGTGGAAAGGTTCGTGGTCGAACGAAGACCCCAAGTGGCAAACTTTTTCCCGTATGCAGAAGGTAGAGTGCGGGTTTCAGTTTCGCGAAGATCACACCTACTGGATGGAGTTTAGCGCTTTTTACTGCTTCTTCACGACTGTCATCGAATCACGAAATCTGTACAACTTTCGTTCCCTTCCAGACGGTATTGGCAATCCAATTTCTCCAAGCCTAAGCATTCACATTGTCTCAGGGGAGTGGAACGGTATTACGAGTGGTGGGCGCGATGCCATGCACTTGAATCCGCAAGTTCAGCTCTTTTCTCCTGCCACAACTGGCTGCAACCTCATCGTTCACCTTGAACAGCCATCACGCCGAGTGAAGATGGAGACAGAGTATACGTCTTACATAGCACCCGTTGTGGTAAAGAATGGTGAGCGACAGCTGCGCAAAATTGATTTATCGCAAGATGTGGTAGCTACAGGAACCTTCATTTCGAACCGCAGTTGCGTCTTAGAAATCCCGCTGAAGCCAGACGAAGGCGGCAAACCATTCGTAATCATCCCGGCCACGTACGATGGTCACTTGCCGTATCAGCTAGGCTTCTCAATGACGCTTTTCACGTCCAAGCCGACTGCTGTGGTTCCTGTCTCAGACACGGGCTCGCTTCCCGTATGCTGTATTTGCCAAAACGCACTGTCGGGCACGTTCCGCACGTTCACGCACGAACAAGACGGACAGAGAAAGGTGGATCGCGTGTGCCAAGGTGCTTGTGTGGATGCCTACCGCGAGCGCAACACTCCTGTGTGCGTGGACTGCCATCAGCGCATCGAAGTAGTGGAAAATCGCTTCTCTGGACGTATGTTCACTCTTCCTGATGGTTCGAGCGTGCACGCCGAGTGTATCGACGCGTATCAGATCCGCACGTCCGAGAAGTGCATCCACTGTGGCCATGCCATCGCAGCTATCCCTGACCAATTTGCCGGCAAATACTACCAGGTCAATGGCGGCAAGTGTCACGGAGAGTGTATTGAAGCATACCAGCTAGCCACTGCTCAACGCTGTGTGCACTGTAGCGAGCCTGTCATCAAGGTTGCTGGTAAATTCGATGGCCGCTTTTACAAGATCGAGGGCGAGCGACTTGTACACTTTGAATGCTGGGAGAGGTATCAGCAGTCTGTGGCGCCAAAGTGTGTGCACTGCGCGCAGCCAATTTTGCAGCTCCCGGGGCGGTTTGACGGCCGCTTTTACGAACTGGCAAGTGGCATTGGCAAGGTGCACTTTGAGTGCTGGAACGCTTACCAGACGCTTGCCAACGCACCAAAGTAAACAACAAATTGGGGTACGATGGCTTGAAGTCGATACTGTCTATCTGCCGTTAGCTACAGGATGTGCAAGTAGATAGGTACAGGTACAGCTAATTGTATCTGAATGTGTACACTTGTCATGAATAGGGCATGGCCATTGAGGATAATTTGCAAGATTGAGGCCTCACCCTACGCATATCACCCTCCTGATACATCTCATAGATTGTCACCATCATCACAAAACAAGTACGTACGATAATGCGAAGTGAAGGCCAGCGTTTGACGGTGCATCTGAAGGCAATTATCACCGAGTGCGAGCGGTTGAAAGTTATTTATTGTCACGCAATCGACCAGCTCGAGACGTACACGCTACCAAATCTCTCACCACAATCGGCTGGACAGTGGTTTCAAATGGTCTTTTTCATTCAGATTTGACTCTGTCGTTCTATCTTTGACACATGAATTGACATGTTCGCTTGCAGTATCTCCGTGTGATGGACATAGGGATACAAATTCGACGTGGTGAGATTCGTCATCGCACGTCACAATGTTTTACGTACTCATGCATGCATAAGACTGGTATTAAAGGAGCTATGCATTCAGGTGCGTTGAAGAGCTGCAATTGCCACATATTGGGCCTTTGACTGATGAAGATTGTGTGGTGTGTGGACGGACAGGTCTGAGTATCGACGATGGCAATGCTATTTACAAGCTCATGGACGACCGGAAACTCGTGAAGGAAAGCCGACTGGATGGCTGGTTTATCAAGATTGACGGATTAGATCGAGACGACATTGGTCCATTAGACAAGAGACTTACGGGATGTCTCGAGGACTTTCGTAGACGTAATAGCGTCTTTTACGAGCGGCTTGAAGTGACGGGAGAGGACCCACATGAAAAATTGCTGGTCCTAGGAGAACCTGCTTCTCGTGTTGTGGTGAAGGTCACGCGGACATGCTTTGGGCCAACGAATTGTTCCTGCAAGGAAGATGCACAACCTTGGGAGGAATTCAGTCTTACAACGGGTGACCTGCACGCGCGGAACTTAGTGTCGACAGGGTTGGACACCAATGCCGAGGCAGTACAGGTACATGAGGTGGGCATTATGGATATCAAGCGACAAATGGGTTTTGGACAGCTATCGCGTGAGGAAAAGCACCAGGATGCAGCGGCACTTGCACGTGACGCGGCCGAATTAACTCAAAGTCGGAGAATCTATGGACAAAGTGGTGCTGCTTCGGTTGGACTACGTCCACCACCATCGGCACGAAGCATCTACCAAAAACGAGTAAGTGTCGAAATGGTGGCACGATATGAGTTTATAACAACGAACCAGTGAGCTTACCTTTTCGTTTTGTTTGTACTTGTTCAGTGCGTAGAGATTGGGTGCAAACCAAAGCCATTGATCGATGCAGCACTGGCAGTGAAGAACAGAGCACATTATATAGACTTGTCTGGCATCGGTTTCCATTCAGCGGACGATCTCCTAGACTTGGTGGACATTTTTGCTTCTTCTGGCCTGCCTCCTGTAAAGGAGGTAAATGTGTCGAACGGATTCTTCAATGCTGCAGCTTTCCAAGTACTCTGCCAGTTTTTGCGATTGCCAGTGCTTCGTCAAACTGTCGAGCGACTTAGCTTTCGAAGCATTGCTCTTCCACAACCAGCCGATATTGCTGTCCTCATGCAACTTTTGACCGGTGATAACTCTTCGATTGGATCCCTTCCAGCACTTGATAGCTTGAAGACATTGGAATTGTCGTTTAATACGTTGTGGGGTGAAGGCGCAGCCTGCCTCCGGCCTTTGCTCGCTAGTCTCAAAGGACTAAAGAATCTCTCGCTGGAATCCTGTTTTCCAGAGCCGGTTATATCATCTGACGCGACAGTTTGCTCTAGTGATGAAAAATGGACAGAGGAGAATGTACGCGTCGTACTGACCGAGGTAAGCAGTCGACTCCAGTGCCTGAATTTCGGCTCAAACTATATTGCTACTGGATCACGCTGGCTGGATGCTATCTTCACACCTGAAAGTACTTTACAAAAGCTAGAATTGCAGGGAATCACCGGCATCTCGAATCATAACACCGAAACAATGGAAGCAGATTGGCAAGCACGAGAAATCTGGGACTTGCAGCAGGTAGAAACATTGTCATGGTCGTCTTCCGTCGGTGTGTATACAGACAAGTTATTGCACAGTTTGTCTGCTGAGTTACAAGGCGGGTTTGCACAACTGAAGCATCTCGAGATGAAAGTTAATATCACGACTGGGCAAGATGGAAAAAGTCAAGCTGCCAGAAAAGTCGCGGATACAATCACACGTATTGCCGACTATGGGGTATTGAAGTCATGCCACATTTGCTGCTATAGTCGAGATGAGGCCATCTCGCACAATTTGAACGCATCAATGACGAAACTTTTGGAAAATGGACTACACGAATGTGAGGTTTTGACGTTGCGTATACCACAGCTGTATCTAGAATCGGGAGTGATATGTGACCTCTTGTCATCTGCACACGCTTCCAAGATGCAAAAGATGACGTTGGCCGTCGGGATTGCTGCCAAAGACCACGTAGAACCGACTTTTGATTTGTGCTTTCTTCAACTACAAGCAGCTCAAGAAATTACGCTGGAACTTCACGCCGCAGTCGACAAAGAAAGTGAGGCTAGATTATATGCGTTGGCAAGAAACTTGGAGGCGTCTTGGCTTGGCCTCAGTTCACCTTCTGGCAATTCTTCGCACGATAAGAAGCGTCCATTTAATGTTGTGAACGGAAAACCGAACCGTTCCATTGTTTTGTCCGAGCAACGAAAAGCGAACAAACAAATTTATCGAATTCGCTTTATGGCCGCGTCAGTTCCACGATAATGCTAACGCCACTAAGTTCCTCCAGTAAAAGCATATTGCGTACGATTTGCTTCCAAACAGTGCATTTCCCGTAAAAGTGCCTTGGCTTCCTCTTTTTCCGGCCCTTGTATATCCAGTAAACGGTTGCAGAAGATTGTCGCTTCGGGGAACTTGCCCAGCTGCTTATAGTAGTTGGCAAGAAACAGTATCGCTGCCAGTGCTGGGGCGGTATCCACGCATATGTTACCACCACAGCCACCGGGGAGAACAAGCTCTTCTCTTTGGTTTTCGCTATTGTGCTTATAGTCAATTGGCACATTTCTCTTGATGCCATCCTGCTCTTGCAAAAGTGTTGCTGGAACGCTTCGAAGACCGAGGTGCACCCGGTAGTACTTGGCAGCATCATGTTGCTGACCACGCGCCGCATAGAGTCGGCCTAGGTGGTATGATGCGATGCCTTCACGATCTTGATTATTAACGGCACGGTGGAAACACGCGAGAGCTTCATCAACCTTATCCAGTTTTTCGTAACAGCCACCCAAAGCACACCACATGCGCGCGTCATAAGGACGAATCGCCACAGATTTACGGTAGTAGTAGATGCTGTATAGGAACATGTTGAGAATTTCGTAAGCCTGCCCAAGTCCATACCAAGCACGATAATCCCGTATGTTGAGATCAACCGCGTGGCGGTAGGCTTCAATGGCTGCACTTGTGTTCTTCATCTCGATATACTCATGGCCGATGAGTGTCCAGGCCGAAAGGAAATTAGGATCAAGCTTTAGCGCGCGGTGAAAATAAATAATCGCGCGATCGTGCTTGTTCTTGATCGAGTAGTAATTTCCAATGATACAGCACGTCTCCGGCCGGTACTTCTCCACTTTAAGAGCTCGGTGCGCTAATCGACTGAGTTCGGTCTTGTCCTCTTTCACGTACAGCACGTTTGAGTATACATCCATATTTTCCAAACGATGCGGGTCTTGCGCAGCTAGACGCTCGAACTGTTTTTGAGACTGATCAAAGTCACGGATATGGTAGCTTGTCAAAGCCTGTTGCGCCAAAAGGTAAGTGCTTTGCGGAAAATGTTCTTCTAAGCCTGTCAGGATCGTGCGCGCAGCATCATTCTGCTGTTGGTCAAGCAGAACATGTGCTTGAAAGAGTTGGAACATCCAGCGACAGCTTGTCGCCAGGATCACTTCTTCTTCCTGCAACCGTAGTAGTTAGTGAGATTTCAGACAGCATGCCTCCAAGTATATAATGACGTACGTTAGATGTGAAAGGAGAGTGTGCTGCCAGTTCCATCCAGCTTGACCAATTCCACGGATAGCGACGAATCGATTCTATCAGGATGAATCGCGTTGTGACGTCAAATGTCAGCGTAGTGGATACACCTGACTCGCTTTTAGTATCTCTCCTGCTAGCGTCGGCGTTGAGATCATGTACTTGCTGGCGCTTTTGTTCTTCAGCAAAATCCGCGCGATGCCGTGTCTTCATACTCGTTGGGGTCGACGATTGGGCTTGCGTACTCCCAATGCTAGTGCTGTAGCCTAAGCGCTTTAATACAACAGCATAAAGGTAGAGACCAAATCCATCCAGTGCGTTCAATTGGTACGCGGCACTTAGCGACAGGTACAGCTCTTTAAGATGAGGATTTGTAGCTTGGTGATGCAGATTACGGTCCATCTCTGTCATGTAGCAAAGTGAATTATATCCACCACAGAATAGTCAAGTTAGCAAGTGCAAATTTATCAGCACAAAGCAATGCAAAGACCTTTACTACTGCCTGTGACATTCATCTCTAGATCCATCTCCTCTTTTGCCTTTTCTCCAGCCTGTTAACATTGATAAAGAGGAGAGAATCAATACACACAGAGTCATGACCTCATTTTAAACATGTTTAGTACCAGGAAGAGCGAGTAGTTTTTAAGAAAGCGAAATTTGTGCGTAAGGGTACAGAATGCATCCCCGTGACTCTCAGGACTTGACGATAACAAGGCATGAGCACGCAGATATTCCCCCACATCAAAACAAGCCTTGGCAGCCTCAAAACGATCGCTCTCTGCCCACTTTTCAGGCTCGTTTTCATTGTCGATCTCCTTCATCTCATGCGACAAGGAATTGTATGCAGCCTCTCCCATGCCTAGAAGAAGCTCTGCTGCAAATTGTCGCGCTTGATTCAGTCCACGGACACGAAGATCGTGTACAGCGACGCGTAATTGAGCTGCGACTATCGCCGGTTCTACCTCTGCCATGACCTTGGACTACTTTTTTTTATTAGTCCTTTGTATCTAAATAATAATCTTCGATTACTACACGATGAACCATTTCTTGCAAAACGTGCTCTGCAGGCACAGAACCTGGAGCAAACCTGGCATTGCCATCACTTTAACCCCCCCCAACAGCTTTATTACTTGCTGCAGTAGCTTGCTAGCGTGTACTTTTGCCGCAGCGTTGGCGATACACGCTATTTGCGATACAAGTAGCACTACGTCGCCGAGCATTTGGGCTCGATTTTTTTAAGCTGCTTCAACTGCTTCTGCAGTTTTGTGACACGCTCTACCATTCTGTCAGGCGTAGTTGATAACGTTTCTGCTACCTCGTTCCAAGTTTTTGCCTTCGCTTGTAGATACCTCACGCCGGCTTGACCCGCCACAGCTTCCACACGTCGCGTTCCAGCAGACACTGATCCCTCACTGACTAAATACAAAGGGAAACACTTCACGTGCATTGTGTACGTATGTTCCTCCGCAGAATTTGCTCGATACAGATACTCCAGCCGTGGCGTCCTCTGCAACATCATCATAGCCAACGCGAACAATACGTACGATATCTCCATATTTGTCGCCAAAACTTGCACATGGCACCGCTTCGCTCGGCTTCTTTTCAATGGTTGTTACAACCAGCTCTGCAGCTGCATACTTGTTCACTCTTGCTTCCACGCTTCCCATTTCTTCAACAGTAAGTGCCCCAATATGAGCAAAATCGAAACGAAGGCGGTTGCTTGTAACTTGTAAGCCAGTCTGTGTCACGTGCTCACCCAGCTCGGCCTTTAATGCACGCTGCAGCAAGTGCGTTGCGTTGCGTGTGGTGTACGGCACAACCAGAACGGAACTTGCGGTCCACGTGTGCCTCGACGGTAGGTTCGGAGCCATCAGCAGGAAAGAGCAGAGCTGAAACATCCGCGTATCGCCATATCCTCCAGCAAAGAGCATTTGAGGGCTATAGCTTTCTCGTTCGCCTTCGTCGTATTCTCGACTAGTATACGAAGGCGTCGCGATTTGTCGGCGGGAACGACAGCTAGGTGTTCATGATCTCCTACTTGGCCTCCCCCTTCTGGGGTAGAACGGACAGTAATCGAGAATCGCGCCAAATCCTGTTGAAGACCCCCTTCTCGCTTCATGGGTACGGCCAACTATTTAGTACGCGGGCGTTAAACAGACTCAGCTATTCGTAACCCACAAATGTGCTTTTTGAGCTGCCACGAAGGTAGCTGACGACAGCTTTGCATGATGTAAAGGCTGAGCAGCAAAGGTACTGCGATCACTAATTTGTTGCTTGTGGTCCTTCATATGTGCCTTGTAACCTTCAACATTAACAGTGATATCCATTTCTTTCACGAAACAACTGAGTGATGATGAGCGGGATGCCGTGGGTATTGTAGAGTCGAAAAGTATCTGTGCCGGACAACATCGTATGAGCACGCCGTGCCTTGGACAACGTCTTTCCAATGACATCATGACCGATGCGCAGCATTTCTTCAGTGCTTTCTCCTCGTTAGTAATGATTGCCAGCTCTTGCTGAAAACTTGCATTTTTCGTCCAGTCTGGAACTGCAATGAAAGCAAACGTACCGTCTGAGCCACCATGGACACCAAGCTGTTGTGCATGCTGAATGGACCCGCCTGATGATACGGCGTAGCATATAGCCACGGTCCACATTGGAGGGGGGAAGACGCCATCGTGCAGCCTCGGGTCGAGCTCCTCTTCAAGTGCATTTGTAGTAAAAGATTAGCGTGATGTTGGCAAGCAATGCCCATCCATCCCAGACGTGCGAAGACGCAGCATTAAGTGACAAATTTAGCATTTGAAATGCAAATATTGGGCTTTGTCGTATCCCTTAAGTTGCGTAACATTTGTATCGTAACCTCCGTAACTTGATCCAAAAACACAAATCTTAAGTTACGGCAACATTTAGGGACAATGGAGTACGCGCAACAATTATTGGGTACCGGTCGAGAGATGGAAGAAGAGATGACACAAGTACTGCATTTTCTAGAAACATCCATGATTACGCCACCATCTGGTAGTGATGTAATAACACCACAACAACCAACACTAGAGCAGCAATGTAAAGTAGCAGCACTACAGGAGAATAACGGTGAAAAGTATGAAGAATTGGGTGAAGTTATTGACTTACTGGGATCACTTGATGCTAGTGATACGACACTACAGCAGCAACAATTACAACAGTCACAAGTACAAGATGTTGACTATACGACCGATGTTGATGCAAAAGTAATTGGTAATGGAGAAGTATCATCACACAATGCAATTGAATCGTCACAAATAACTCGATCGTCTACAACAATGAGCACTAATTACACTGGAGTAGACACCATTTCACCCGTAGGACTGCTAAGTGGTCCATCCATGTCACCCGCTACGATTAATTGGTTGCAAACACTTGTGCCTTCTATAAGCTCGGAAAGTCTTACGGGTCTCATATCGCCGGCTACGTTTTGTAGTGCTGGAGAGGGATCAGCGTCTGGTGGAATTCTAGGGACTGTCGGTATTGCTGGAAGTGGACAAGTAGATGGAGCTACTGCAAGAAGAAGTGGAAATCTATCTCGGTGCGCATCGATAAGCTTTGCAAAGTCGATGTATACCTCTTCTTCTTACGAGTACATGTGCTTGTTCATTGTTTTAGGACGCCGTCGTGTGAGATTATCGACTGGAAGGCGTACAACGAGTCGTGTTCCGACAAAAAGCAAAAGGAACCAGTAACTTGGCGTGTCATCCCTCAGCATGGACCGCATGCTGATCAAGCAACAATCTCTAGCGCTGGCCATTCAATGAGTGCCAAGCTCCCACCTGGCAAAACGGTATCATCGGAGTTAAGCATGCATAAGCAAATGCAGAGGAAAATGGCTGAAGAAAAGAGCAAGCGAAAGGCGCTTGTGTCTCCAGAGTATGTTCAGTATGGTTGCCCAGTTTCGATTCTTGCTTCTACAACATCGCGAAGTCCCGCCGACAGCGTCAAAATGAATCATGGTCCGGTACATTACGCAAGGAAGGTTCCAGAACCTACAGGGCGTCGTCCATTCAAAAAATCTCTGCATAAAGCAGCGCCTACTGTTAAATCAAGCTCAAAGCAGCAGCAACAGGAGGAGCAGCAACAGCAACAGGAGCAGCAGGAGCAACAGCAACAGGAGCAGCAGAAACAGCAACAAGAAACAGCAACAGCAACAGGAGCAGCTTCAGCAGCAACAACAGCAACAGCAGGATATGACAACGACCTCGTTAAACGCGTCGTCGACAGATGGAAAAGACGATACAGTGCGCTGTAAATGCACAGGTAAATGCCGTAATGCTCGATGTGCGTGTGTGAAGGGAGGTCTGGTGTGTGGCACTCAGTGCAAGTGTGTAAGCTGCGCGAATCCATTCGTGCCGATGGCACGCGAAGGTATTGACGTCCAGTTGATGGTGCGTGACATGTGTTTGATGCAACACCTGTCCAAGATCAAGGATATGCAAGAGCTGCTGGACTCAACCGTCAGTTATGAGTGCTGTGACGGAGGTGGTGGTGTTGTACAAGTAAAGCATTCTTTGGAAACCGGGTTCGCTTGCCCGCATTGCGGTGCTTGTTTTACATACTCGTGGTGCAACAATCGGCTATGTCCAGACGCTAAGAAACCGCGACGCCATTGTGCCAAGTGTCGCCGGTGTGGCGACCACCGCAATCAGCATTGTGACCTTTGCAATCACTGTTACTTTGCTGGCGTAGCTAATAGCTTTTGCTGCAGTTGTCAGTCCTCTGGAAGTGGTAGTGGTAAGACACGAGCGGTGGTGCCGAATCCAGTGTGCCGAGATTCTGATATCACCGCAAATTATGAGAACGGAGAAAAGCAAATTGGTCCACAACCTGTTGCTTCCGTTAATCTGGATGTCGAAGGGGCTGCATGTGATGAAAACTTTGGTGCTACAGCAAAACTTGGCACAGATGACGACTCATGCAAACTCCAGTAATATTTTTTGGTATACAAGCTTCGTGACATTGCCACAAGACAACAGCAAGAAAAGGTAGCACGACTTGGAATACGCAAGCATGAGAGCCACCCACGGTCGAGGCTGAGCACCAAAAGCTTGTCCGTGTCTGGGATTATGGCGTTGTCTTTGAACGGCGATTATGAGCTTGGTGCTCTAAAATATACCAGCTTTAGTTTCTAAGCTTGTTGTCTTGCTGTCCGAATAATACATGCGGTCTAGAAAGTTAGCAAAGCTCCTTGACTAGACGCAATTGTACTTGAGCAGCTCCCATTAATGTGCAATTGGTGCTTGCGTAAAGACTATTTTCCCATAAAATAGTGTTCACCACATCAAATCTCCCTGGACCATCGATCCAGAAAGCCGCTCTCTCGTCTTCCTTAAAGGCACGTAACTCTCTTGTAGCTTCCTATCTCCCCACAGAAGACAAGATCGTAGCATGTCGCACTTTTTTCACAAGCCAGAGAATGCACTGAAGCGTGCTCGTGAGCTACTGGCCATTCCCAACGTGGATGCTGGCGTGCTCAAACGTACAAAGCACTCGGCTCTCGAGATCCTTCACGATGCATTAATCGCCAAGAAAAACCGTACATGGCAGCCTACGCACGAGGAGCTTATGAAATTGTATCTGGACATTTGTCTGGACTTGCAGATGGGACGCGTGGCCAAGGATGGGCTACATCAGTACCGTAACTTGTCCATTCAGCTTAATCCGGCGTCGCTCGAGACTATTATCAAACATTTTGTGTCCGAGGCCGAGCGCAAACTCGCGGCCGCCAAGAAGGAGAGCAATGAACTTAATTTATTGGCCGCTGCCATGATAGACTTGGACGTGGCACAGACACCGGAAGACGTGATGCTGTCCACTACGACGTTTGAGGGATCAAATGACCGTACTGATCGGGAAGTTGTTGTTCCTTGGCTACGTTTCATGTGGGAAACATACCGCACTGTGCTAGACATTCTCAAGAGCAACTCGAAGCTAGAGCCGTTATACATGGCAACAGCCATGCAGGCCTTTGACTTTTGTGTCGAATACCAGCGCAAAATCGAGTTTCGTCGTGTGTGTGAAATCATGCGAAATCACTTGAGCTCGTTGCAAAAGCATGCTGCGACACCTTCAAGCCAGTCAACCCGTCAGATGCGCAGCTGGGACGGATTCACTCTCGAGAGTGTGGAGCGTCTACTGGAAGTGCGCTACCGTCAATTGCAGGTTGCCACCGACCTTGAGCTGTTTTCAGAGGCTTTCCGCACGATTGATGATATCAACAACATTATGAACTTGATCGAGCAGACTCCGCGCGTGGACCTGCTCGTCACTTACTACGAAAAGCTGGCCCAGATCTTCCAAGTGTCCAAGAATCACTTGTTCCACGCCTACGCGCTGTACAAGTGGTACTCCCTGCGTGTCACTGGTCTCCAAGGACTTGCTGGCGCTCAGGCGCTACAGGAGCTGCCTGTGCTCGTGTCGGAGGAAGAGCAAAGGGCGATGGCTACTCGTGTCGTGCTCGCTGCTTTGTCCATCCCGCTGCTAGATTTTGAAGCGTCCTCTTCCGTCTTGGGCAACGACGAGCCCTCTTCAATTCACATGGCCGCTGAGAATTCGCTCTCCGCTGCTGCTCGTGACAAGAACTCGCGCATGGCAGCCCTGCTGGGCTTTGCCACAACTCCAACGCGTGCCAACTTGCTTGAGGACATTGAAGCTGCTGGCCTGCTATCTAAGGCTTCGACTGCCGCTAGTGATATTTTTCAGCGTGTGGAACTGCAGGCTGTGGATCCCCTGCAGATTGTGAAGCAGCTGGAGCCGTGTCTGACAACGATCCGTGCCGATCCATTCGCAAAGGCTTATGCCGATGGAGTGGAGCGCCTTGTGGTGCGCCGCGTGCTTTTTCAGCTTACCCGCGTATACGCTAGCGTGACGATCGCTCATCTGCGCTCCATTTTCGCTGGCCTTAACGTTTCTTACGAGGAGATTGAGACTCTGATTGCCCGGTCTCGCAGCCTTAGCACTGTTGCATCTGTCAGTGCTCCTAGTCTGTCCAGCATGTACCGGCGTAATGTCACCCAGCATGGCAGCAACAATGCTGAGACATCCTCGGCTGATGCTGTTTCCTCTGCGCAGACACGTACTAAGATCCGCATCGATCACGTGGAGCAATGCATTCGCTTCACTGACGCTGTGGATCTTGAGGCGAATGCCGCTCAACTTACTCTTTTGGGCGAACGTCTTTCCCGTGCCATGAGCAAGGTGCCTGCTACCGCCTCAGTCACTATTGGTGCTCGCAATGAACAGAAGAAGAAGCTCTTTGCGGCCAGCCATGCCCGTCTGCAGGAACAGCGGTCTGTAATGCTGGCCCGTCATGAGATCATCGAGCGCAAAAAGGAAGAGCTGGAAAAGCTACAACATGAAAAGGTGCAGTCTTTGGAAAAGAAGCGCCAAGAGTTTGCTCAGCGCCGCGCAGACATCGAGAGGGAGCGTTTGGCCCAAGAAGCCCGCCGCCGCGAGGCTGAAAAGAAGCAGAAGATTCAGGATGAGATAAAGCTAAAGGAGACTCGCCAGATGCTTGATAAGCTTGGTCACACAGATGTGAGTGACCTGGACCTGGCTAGCATCGATAAAGAGAAATTAGTTAGCGAGGCCAATGAGAAGACTCGCAAGGCAAAGGAATTTGCGCAGCAAAAGTTGCGCGAGAATGCCCGTCGCATGGACTACATCGTACGTGCTACTCGCGAGGAGGAACAGCCTATTTTGCAGCGCCAGGTTGCGGAGGCAAAAACCGAGGCCCTAAAGCGCTACGAGCAGGAGATAGCTGCAAAGCTGCAGCGCGCTAAGGAGGAGCATGACTATGGTCTGAAGGAGAAGGCTCGTTTGGCCCCGGCTATTCAGGTGAGTGCTGAGTTTGTCAAAGCTCATAGGGCTCGTCGTATCGAGCAGTACAAGAAGGCATCCGAGGAGCAGAAGAAGAAGGCTATGCTGGAGCGTCTGAGCGCTCGCGTGGCTCACGCTAGAGAGCGTTACGAAGAGGAGCAGCTTCGTTTGCGTCAAGAAGAAGAGGAAAAAGAGCGCATTCTTCGCGAGGAGGAGGCCGAGCGGGAGCGTCAGCGCCAGCTGACCGTGGAAGAAGAACTTCGCCGCCAGGAAGCGGAAGAGGCTGAAAAGCGCCGTATTACTGAGGAGAAGGAGCATGTAGAGAAGACACAGCGCGAGCGCGAGGAGGAGGACAAGCGTGTTGAGCAACGCAGCCAGGGTCGCTTTGGCAATGCTGGAGCTCGTGGTTTGTCCGGTGGCATCCGCGACTTAAACCGTAACCGTGACGATGATCGCCGTGGCAATGACAGGGATGATGGCGCGTGGACTCAAGTCAATCGCGGTGGTCTGTCCAATCGTGCGCAAACTGCAGCACCCGAAGGCCGCTGGGAGCGCCACGGACCTCCAGCTCGCGAAAGCTTCGGCGACCGCGACGTGCGCGAGGGAAGTGGCATGCGTCGTTATGGTGGCGATCGCGATGAGAGTGGAGGTGGCCTGCGTCGTGACTTAGGTGGCGACCGCGACGTGCGCGAGGGAAGTGGCCTGCGTCGTTATGGTGGCGACCGCGACGTGCGCGAGGGAAGTGGCCTGCGTCGTTATGGTGGCGATCGCGATGAGAATGAAAGTGGTCTGCGTCGGGGCTTTAGTGGCGACCGCGGTGAGAATGGAGGTGGTTTGCGTCGGAACTTTGGTGGCAATCGCGAGGAAGGCGGTATGCGATGGGGCAATCGCCGCGGTGGCGGCGAACGTGATGACGAAAGCTCGATTCGTCGTGGTGGTGACCGTGAAGGGGAAAGCTCGATTCGTCGTGGTGGTGACCGTGAAGGGGAAAGCTCAATTCGTCGTGGTGGTGACCGTGATGGCGACGATCGCTTCTTTGGCCATTCCCAGCGGGAAAATTCGTATCGGCCGCCGCGCGCTGGAGATCGTGAGGGTTCATCGCGCGATGCCACTCGTGCTCCTGAGTCTGGTCGCTGGAGATAGGCATTTGACATGCTGACGCGTGGGTTTCTGTAAGGATACAATTGAAGGCAGACAAAGAAAAGGTCAAGACGTTATGTATAGTGCTGAGTGTGGGAAACAAGTTGTTTGAACAATGTCTACTGGAACTAATGGAAACGTGGTGCAGCAATTTAAAGACGCACGCTTACTATGTAGCTGTACTCTTCTATTATTACTATGGAGACCGATGGATCTACTGTATTATATAAAAAGGGTACAGCTACATGCCACATTTGCGTTATATTACAGAGGAAAGGGCAGGAGTAGAGGATGTTTGCCGCTTTGTAGACGTACCCCACACCTCAAAACTTCGTGTCTATCGCTCCTTGTCAAGTTCGCACGCTACCTCCCGTGGCACACGCAGCGGAAGAGAAGGCCTCTTCGAGTTAGTTAACCTTAGCTTAAAGACTTCTAAATAGTGATACTGTCCTAAAAACCTCCCTTTCACGTTATACATTCCCTGATTTATATGCTAATCAAAAAAACCTCTTACTAATTATTCATTCGTCAAGACACTGCGTATAGTTTAAAAGATCTCCTAATAATGGGCTTGCATGTGACGGCAGAACAAGTGACGACTCAAGCAGCAGCTAATGTGCTGCTTACAAGTATCACAGTCTTTTTCCCACTCTTTCTGGTGCTGATTCTATTGTATGAAATGTTGCGGCCTCGTGTACCGCACGTATACTCACCTGAAAACCATGTGAACTTCCCCGAGTCCAAGCAGCACAAGTTTTTGAGCTGGGTGCCTTTTGTATGGTGCATCAATGAAGCTGAAGTAGCTAAAAAATGTGGTCTGGATGCATGGGTGCTACTGCGTTTTATGAAGATGGGGCGCAAGGTGGCGCTGCTGTGCGTCTTGTGCTCACTCGCTCTCTTTCCAATGTATTTTTTCACGGCAGCCGTGTTTGAGGTCCAGAAACGACATGAATTGCTACCTGATGGAGTGGAACCAGCTAATGTTACAATTGCTACTATCACGTCCATGATGATGATCATGCTCGATGAGGAACTACAATTCGAGAACAATACAGCCAATATCCTGTCCTCAGACGGAAAGGTGAAGCTGGATGTCATTGATAGACTTACGATCGCTAATGTCGGTAGAGATGACTGGAGACTCTACTTTACGGTGTTGGTTTCATATATGATCAGCATCTACGTGATGCGACTGCTACTAAATGAGTACACGGTATACCGCAAGCGCCGCCACGAGTTTTTAAAGCGAAAGCACCCGCAGCAATATAGTGTCGTTATTTCGGACCTTCCCGAGTCTCAACGTCGCCCGCAGACGTTACAGGCGTATTTAGAGTACCTGTTCCCAAACTCAGTGCACTCGGTCTACATTGGTGTCGAGTGCGCGAAACTGGAGGAACTGCTAGGTAAACGGCAGGAACTTGTGTACCACCTGTATGCAGCAAGCCTAAAGCTAGCGGAGGCAAAGAACAAGGTTGGTGATCATGATGTGATAAAGCGACCAAAAGAATGGATTGACCGTCGATTCTTCGGTCTCTGTGGTGGTAAGCAAGTCGATGCCGTCGACCACCACACCAAGAAATTGCAAAAGCTTGAAGCCGAAATTGCTCTTGTCCGAGACGAGATCCTTCAGCGTCAGTCGAGAGAAAAAGCCCAAGAAATCTACAGCAAAAATCAGTACAACTCCATAAATGGAGCGCCATTAGGATTTTCTACTTTGACCGAGCTCGCGGAGAAGCTACGTAAGACGAAGAGCTCGACGGAGGATCGGCGGTGGGGCAAAGAAACGTTGCCGTTGCTGCATGTTGGTGCGTCGGTGCACAAACAACTTAAGCACCCAAACGTGATGCGTAGCTGCGCATTCGTAAGCTTTCGTAATATCCGCTCTGCACAAGCAGCGCAACAGCTACTTCAGGTGGAGAACCCGCGTCGCATGATTGTCCTCCCCGCGCCCAACATCCGTGATGTGCAGTGGAAAAACTTTGGTCTGCCGCAAAAACTCAAAGCTAAGTGGAAGCTTATCTCAATGGGGGTTTCGCTCTTGATTGGATGTTTCTGGACAGTGCCAACGGCTTTCGTCGCTTCGATGGCTACTGTTGACGAGCTCCGCCACTTGTTTCCATGGCTCGGTGGTTTTATGGAAAAGAACCCGTGGCTTCTGATTGTTTTGCAACAAACTGCACCGCTGGTATATTCAGCAATGAATGGTCTTGCAAACGTAATTTTCAAGCTGCTCTCTACCCAAGAGGGTCATTTGTCGATCTCGGAGGTGGAAGCTAGTCGATTTACCAAGCTTTGCTTTTTTCAAGCATTCCAAATGTTTTTCGTGTCGGCACTAGCCGGATCCATTATCACAGAGTTTATGCTATTCTTGGACCAGCCGCGCATGTTTTTCTTCTTCTTGGGCAACACAATTGCGAACCAGTCCATGATGTTCATTACCTTTATCATCACGCAAATCTGTGTAGACATGTCCCTATTCTTGCTGCGTGTATCACCGCTGGCGAAGTCTGCTGCTTACCATTTCCTCGCTCCGATGCATGCAAAGTTGCCGCAGCCTCGAGACTGGATGGGTCTTTGCCCCGTCAACTTCCAAACTGACCTCGATACTCCGATGAATCTGGCTCAGCAGTATCTCGTGTTCTTACTCGTCGTGGTGTTTACTCCCATTGCGCCACTTGTGGGTTACTTTGGCGCGATGTTCTTCGTGGTATCTGAGCTTTCCTACAAGCGATGTTTTTTCTTCATCAATAGCTCGCGCTGGGCAGCAACGAATTCTATGGGAGTTTTTTGGCCACCTCTTTACTCGTTCGTGATCGGGGCGCTTCTCATTGGCCAGTGCACTCTAATTGGACTGCTATCGCTAAAGTCAGCTGGGTACGGACCTATTGGGCTCATGAGTGTGCTACCTCTCAGTACACTTATCTTCCATTGGTATGCAGTTGATCTCTCTCATCTGAAACGTGCTGCTGAAAATCTGCCGCTTGATCAGTGCTGTGACATCGATGAGGAGCGAAAAGATGATTCATTTGACTTCCTGGATGGTGTCTACCAGCAGCCAGCTATGATTGAATCATTTCACCCGGCGTCGATCTTAGCTCGCGACCCTGAAAGTGGCGCGAGTGCTTTAATTGATTCGTCCAACGAACAGGCAGACGCACCAGAACCTCATGTAGAACCGCTAAACAAGCCTGCCAAGCCTCTTCACCAGCAGACCCGTTTGGCTGAGCTTAACAAGGATATAAAAGACGAGATCAAAAGAAACGAATGAGCGCTGAAATGCATCATTCATTAAGGCGAAAAAGGACTGTGCTGCACATTGTATTCGGTGCGATTGTGTGGTGAGTTACAATCGATGTCGTTGTGCAGACCGTTCTCACAAGTTTGGAATTCGTAACATGATAACTCGACCCGATAACTCGACCTGCTATTGCATGTTACATGACTGTAGCTGGAATCTTGTTGTAACATTTGCGACCAAAACTTTAAATTTATTTACATGAATAGTAATAGTACAAGTGTAAAATAGTACCTGTTCAGCCTATATTAGTATTTTTTTCGCTTCCACTCCCGAAAGTGAATTACTATTTACGATGGACGAGTTCCTCGCCGATTTACGCGAGTTAGACGAGACGCAGGAGCGTGTTGAAGCTGTGAGCGATGGTATGTTGCGTGTGCAGCGTTTAGGTGACACTTTAAAGGCACAGGAAATGATTGAAAGCTGGATCCAGGCGCTTCGGGCCAGTGGTTTCCAATCCGAGCGCGTTGCGTTCCTTTACGTAGCTAATCACGTGCTGCAGAAGACACTTTTTGGAGACTTAGAGGCTCAGAAGACGCCCGTGTTTGTGGAACTGCTTAGTCAGCATTTGGAGGAGGCAGTGGCGCTCGTGTGCAACTCTCCAATGGACCGACAGAATGTTACGAGACTTTTGGAATTGTGGCATGAAAAGAAGGTTTTTACCGACACCAAAGTGCTTAAAATGTGGCGTTGTACTGGCGAAGAGCTGCCGGAGTTTTTGAAAGATGTAGACAGAGATACTGAGATTAAACAGGGAGAGAATATGGACAAGGACATTGACAAGGAGGAGCTACCGAGCAACGAGGACGCAGGAACGGAGCTTCATCACGTGTTACCAATGAAATTGAACTCTCACTCAGCCAACCCGGTGCTAGATGTGCTCAAGAAAATTGATCATCATAAAACAGCGGTGAGATTCTTGGACCAAAAGATCAGACAGAGACATCAATTTCTGATGCAAGACAGTGTCATGAGGTACCAGACCGCAGCAGATCTTGTTGCGGATAGAGCGACGGCGTCGTCACAGATCAAGGCGAGAGCAGAAGATTGTTTGAGACTGGTAAAAGTGCGCAATGTAAGTGGCGGAGATGGTTGGAAATGTGTGGCGGTTGGAAAGTGATGGAGCGTGTGTGTCTGTTGTAAACAGAAACTCATCCATGAAATGGCAGATTTGAAGACACAGCTTTCGGAAGCGATTGCCAATATGATTGACTATGAGGTGACGACGTTAGGTGCATATGCCTGTATTCTTGCAGTATACTGACGAGCTTGGTGCTGTGTTTCGACGATGACTACAGGAAGAAGCCGCAACTAAGATTGAGCAGAAACTTGAGGTCGGATAGCTTTGTTTGCGAGCGTTGAGCGAAGTTTCTTACTGACGGGACTATTGTATTACCATGTTGCGACTACTTTAGCAATGTGATGAGATCGACTTGGGTCTCATGGATTTGACAGACCACCAAAAGAAGTTTTCTGAAGAGGTATGTTGACATCACAATCACATGTCCGTCTAAACATGAAGATAATGGTGCACTTGTGTTTTCGTAGTGGTCGCAAGCACGATTTGTCAGTATGGAGCGCCGAAAGCAACGTGAGAAAATTCAGCGTCAGAAAGACGAGGAAATTGCTCGCCTGCACCACGAGGCTATTGCCGAAAGCGCAATGCATGCAATGAATCTGGAGGCCGATATCAACTTTAACTCAACCTCAGAGCTGCAGTCGCTGTCAAAGGAGTTCAAGGATCGCCCACAGGAAAAGGATGCCAAGGTTGACAACGAGAATGAGCTCGTCTGGAATCCGTACGTGTTGGATGTGACCTAAAGGAAAGTTATCAACTACTCACTTATTCTCTCGCTAATGACATTCGCTATTGCAGGATTCGCAAGGAGTTGGTGCCTTTACGAAGCTTGAACGTGGATTGGGAAGATTGGCGAGACCACTGATCGAAAGTCGGATGGATTTGGTGTCTTAAGGCGGCTTTGAATGCACAGCATACTCACTTATGCGCAAATAAGATCAATGTGCTTTCACGAGAAGATGAAGGAGAAGCATCGAAAAATATTTCATTATATAGATGTGTGTCACCACTGTTCACATCCAAAAGAGTTCTGTACAGCTTGCGTGAATGAAAGTTCCGCACTGATGCTGTAAGTTTCTTGGTGCAAGTGGTGATGGTTGTTTACGATGTTTAAGCCAACGATACCAAATACCACAACTTGCGCCAAGAATCTGAAGGAAGTTCAATCTGAACAGGAGAGGTCTACGACAAGCGCTGTGTAATAGAATCGTCTAAGGTCACTGACCTTCCTTTGCTTTGACGCAGGACTTGAATATGCGCATGCCACAGCAAAAAAGTCCTTCGTTTGCACAGTTTGTTGCCATTCAGCGGCCTCCACTAGATCTTGGAGCTTCAAGGCACCATTGCGTGCAGCTGGACCTGCCCGCCAATCTTAAGCTGCTTACCCCACGATTCAATATTGACAAGTCCGAGAAGTACAATAACAATCACGATCGCTTCCAGAACGTGTAGTTTCCAAGTCGACTTCAGTGTCTACGATAAGCAACTTGTTTGGTTTTGATTGAAGCATAGACTGCTCATCACGAAAAAAAACTGGAATGTGAGGCCGTCAGCTTAGGTGACATGCGCAATTGGCATTGCTGTCTTGATCTTCGTCAAGCCAACCCGAGAGCTGATCAAAATTGCGGTGAACTTTCGGTCTACGATCCGATGACAAAATAGAATAAAAGTTGCTGACGTGATTAAAAAAGCTGTGCCATGTCTTCCTCATATGCGTCCAGGATGTACACAGCGATGATTACCATGATGGTATCAAGCCATCCGACAGTGCTTAGTGTGTGGCAAAGTCGTGAGCAGCTGGATATTGACGTCAATGTCGTGAGGATGAGGTCAACTGTACCATGGACACCAGGTACATGATACAGTCTGACCTTATCCATCGCTCACCCGAACCGGCGTTGAGGTGACGTTCTTGGCGTCGTTCGGGATCCAAAGCCTGTCTTACAAACGCAGATGAGACCGCTGCCGGCCTTCCTCGAACGAAGTAGGCTGTCAGCGGTCTATTTTTTGCGTTTGTGTGCGTGTCATGCATGGACTGCGCGGCCTGTACGTAGAGAATTGTGGGCTTATAACGGGTCCAAAGTATACTACCATCAATGCAGACGTTTCAAAGCACTATTGACGTCAAGCCATCTCCACCATTTATTCAGACACCCCATACAAAGCCGCAAACATGAGTGCGGCAATTCCGGTGCCTACGAGAAGTTTCAAAACGTTCCACAAACGTGACCACAGCGACGGATTTTTCTTGAGCACCTTTGCCGTTTGTCCCGTTATCCTCAAAAGCTTCTGTTCGTCAGCAGCCTTCAACCATTCAGACGCATGAACCTCTTGAAGATGAGTCTTTAAGTTCTTAATGACAACATCCTGCTCCACAACCTTGATGTTTACTTGATCTTTTATTCTGTCAAAGTCAGTTGCTAATGTTTCATATTCCGCGTTATCTTTGAGTTTTACTTCCTTTAGTTTCTGGTTGTAAGATGTTGCTGTAGTCATGAGCTTTTCAATCATTGCAGGTTGATCCATTCCTTCAAGACTTTGTAAAACAGTCAGAATTGAAACTAAGTTTTCGCTCTTGGCATTGGCAACATGAAAGAAGCTCAAGGATAAAGTGACCATTATTCGGACGAAAAGTGTGCGCATGTCCATGGTGAAAGTTGAATCGAAAACGTTTGTTTTACAAGTGAAAAAGTCTAGAAATGAAAACCTGAAGAAGTGACCCGAACTCTATAAGTAGCGAGTGTAATCATCATAGACAACATTGTTATAATACAGTACATGATAGCTATATCACCAGCACGTAATTAGAAGGGAGACGCATCAAAATGGCATGAGAAACATATGCAAACTAGATTCTTTTGCGGCTTTATAATTGTTTTTACCCGCATGACCATTGCGCTCCATGCAGGTAATGTGCATTACTATCAACAGTATGATATCTACTTGTACTAGAATTGCAATCGAATCGTACTGAACAATGATTCGGCTGATAATAAAGCAAGGATAAGGACAAGCTTATAGCCATTTCATGTATGGAGCCGATTACAGAGAGGCGATCGCGGATTATAAGTGTGCCATAATAGCGGCATCGTGCACGTTGTACATTACATCTGAGCAAAGCTGCCTATACCACAATTGTAACGTCGTCGTAATCTTTCAAGTAGATAAGGTCATTGTATATATTGTAAAAGTGCTGCTGCCACGCTACTCCTTCTATAGCTTATTGTAACTGAGCCTTTGCGTACAATTTCTGATAGGCCATTTCATAGCATGAATCAACGAAAAGGAACTGACTATCAGAGCAGCTACATAAGGTAAATAAACCCTATGATTCCACGTGGGTACTTGTCTCGACCGTGCATATTTTGCTCTTCAAATCTCCCTTCTGCTCGAGTCCGCGACATAGCAACAAGCTTTGACCCTCAGCGTCATATCGCAAACTTTAGAAACAGTTCAAGGAATGACGAAAACATTCTCGCAATTTGAGTTGATGTAGCGTGCAAGATGATAAAACGGATTTAATCGAGTTTTCTGTATCATTCTTATCATCAGGCTGTTGTGTCAAGCAAGAGCTGGGTTCCTGGTAGCGAGATAGACAGGTCTCTGGTACTTACCGGTAAAAGGTACCGAGTATGGTAAGGATACCGTGAGAGACAAAACAATAGCTACTATTTGTAATCGTCGTACTTTATCCGTACCTTCACCATGAAAAAACGACTGGCTGCGGTGTTTTCATCCAAGATGCTGCATCCATTCCTAAATCATTTTTCTTCTTCGTTCGTTTAACGCTGTTGTATTCCATTGATCGAGATGATAGGACAAACTTCTTTCCCCATATGACCGACGCTGAGCACAGCCGAAAGACCCGGTGTTCTTTTGCCAGGATACTGGAGCTAGTTTGATCGATCATATCCTTTGTATGAGTTATATGTGTATATGTGTTTGGATGACGGATGAGGATGAGACACAAACTTAGGACACCTTCCGAGAAGCAATTGCTCCATGTGGACTGCTGTTGTATTCATACTGCCTGAGTCTGCTTTCCATATATATAATTGTACATGTCGGTTTGTCTTGTACCGTAAGCGTTGATGAAAGAAAGGAAAATATGTATTTTTGAAGCAATCATCGTGTTGTTGCTGAAAACAAAATCACTTTCTGCTGCCTTCCAACTGAGCTTGCCGATTAATTGTGATATATTTGTGGTGTTGAGAAGGTGATGATTTAATTATTGCATAGTTCAACTGAACGCCTCCAAGGCTGTGTTGAAAATTTTCCATCAAAGTCTTTCGCTCCTATCTGATTCTCAACAAAAAGAATAGTGTTTCATTTTCTATATATGAATGTGATGGTGTAATACTGTAGAGACATGGAATGATGAATTTGACATAATGGGAATCTCGCTGAATGGCTGTAGTGGCTATAAATGTGCTGAGAATTTTAGTCATCCTTGCTCTGACCTGTCGATTCGAATGAGATCCTGACTATTACTACGATTGAAATGATGTTTACAAGATAATCCAACTCTGAAGAAAGGATGTAGATTGAAATCTAGAGCTTTTTAACACTGATCAATCGTATAATAATAACGTGTAGTTTTCAACTCGTCATTGACATTTGTTGATTTGTCAAAGCGTTTGCGAATGATGGAATAGCAGCCATCGATGCTTCCTAATTTGCTTTGACGATTTCGTGTTGCAGACGGAATACCAATGTGCCACACAACGTGCTGCTGAGAGAGACAGGAAGCAGTTCGTTACAGCAAATGGAAAAGATGCAGACACTTCTGATGCGCCAATGCACCTCGAGGATTAAGATTCGCTCTGCGCGACAACAGCTCGTGTAAAATCAGCTGCAGTATATGATACCTATGAACACTGTCAAGCGAAGGAAGGGAGCTGAAGCTGCCCATTTACAGTACAGATTGAATGACGTCTCCGGAATGTACTAATGATCGACTTCAAGATGAAAGTCACAGGGGCTGATGTAGCAAAGGATGAAGCTGCTTCCACCGTATCAGTTGCTCCTTACTTTGGTTTATCAATGAGGAATCGGTACATATCAAGCGGGTAAAAGCAAAATCCCGCAGCAAAGCGGCTGAAATGTGTGCGAATATTTAAAATGGTAGCACGTCTTCAAATTAGTAAAACACAGCACGCCGTTCAGTACTTACTTTTGCGTTATTTCCTCCGAATGGCGTCACCGTCAAAACCATTTTTTACACTGCACTCATAACCACCTGCTGGTCTTCCAAAGAATGTATCTCAGACGACGACAAAGCTGTTTCCTCGTTGTAGTCATTCACTAGCATACGATAGTCGGCGCGAATGGGCACTCGCTGGTTCATTGCTGGCTGACGATAAACGTTGTCCAAAAAGAAAAACTTTGGTGTTGTCGGCTCATGAAGACCTCGTGCACTATCCAAGCGCACGCAGTCCATTAGTGGAAGATACTTGGCCGCACGTGGATAAAGTGTGATCACGTGGTAGTTAAACAGCAACACGATGACGATGAGCACAATTACAAAAATTGGAGGCACGGTTGTCTGCTTGAGCGACAGAATTCCAATAAGTGTCAGCTGCGCCACAACAAGTGCAATAATGCAGAACTTGAACATGCGTGGCCAGTAAGCTCCAAGTGCAAAGCACGTTGGTTTGTACACGCGAAGTACTTGTCGGCGGTAGACAATTTCACTCGCAAAGAAAAAGAACCAGGTAAAATAGCAAACCAAAGGCGCGATTGGTGCGAACGTGAGCGTGACTAACAACACCAGAAAACAATCGGCCAAAGTATTGGTTGGGTCAAAAGGATCTGTCTGTCCGATATTGCGCAAGCCAAACCACGCCGAGTTACGTTCACGCCGTGTGTGCTTTGGTGCCAAAAGTGCAAAAAGAGCAGACATTACCAAAGGAACCACACGTAACAATTCCAGAACCAGACCAAGTCCCGTTTGCACGATCACGTACGAGATGAAAAATGTCGACTGTTGAGGCATGCTACGCCCAAGCATTGACACTAATTTCTTCGGCTGGTCCAAAATCTCTTTGAGACTGTCCAAGATCGTACCCACAATCACAGTGACAAAGAAGATCTGAACAAGCTGAAAGTATCCCAACTTTGTGAATAACGCTGCCCGAACCTCAGTTTTGGACGGGTGGCCTTCTCGCCCCGATAGGAAATTGAACACGATCGGCGCCAAACCACTCAGCGCTACAAGAGCCAGCGGGGCAATTTGCTTGAATATATCTTGAAGAAGCGGATACTCGTCAAAAGCTGTGTTTAAAAAAGGCAGCGCTCGACGAAGAGATTCAACAGTGGCTAGAGACGCCACAAATGCAGTCGGAATTGTCCAAAAAAGCACAATCACCGCAGAAATTAAGGATGATATAAGCATACCGAAGGCACGAGTGCGGTATTGGAGCCCTATGTTGCCCCAATTGATGTCGTCTTCATGAGGCGCTGGCATAACAGCCATGCAAGCAAGATCCTCCGACTGCAGGGTCTGTTGTGCAACCTGCGTCGACATGAGCGATGTAAACGAAACAAATGCGGCTCGTCTCATCGCCCTAATTGGGCGCTCCTTGCGGATCTGCTCACGCTCTTCTTGATTCATTTCTTGCTCTTGCCGGCGTGCTTTCTTGTCGTCAATGTCGTCGTCATCATTGTTTCCAAAGCTATTCCGCAGCTGCTCCGCGCGACCGCGACGAGACAACAGTGGTGCTTTCTTTGGATCTACGTCTTGAGTTGATTTCGTGTTCGTCTCTCTCCGCCCTGCTTCAGTTTGCAACAATTCCAATTCGTCCTCATCATCAAAACTACCCATATCTCGTTCGTGCTCCTCTATTTGAATAGCAAGCTTTGACTGAGCGTCTTCAATACTGCAAATCTCTCGCGCGACTTTTTCATTCAGTGTTGCCAGTTGGTCCTGGAAATAATCGATGCTATCCACCTCGTACCCTCGACTGCCAGGTTTACACATGAGCATTCCCGTCCACGACCTTCCTTCACGATGTCGTGGTCTTTTGCGGGAGACCTCACACTTCACCAGTGCATGTTCCAGAGCCCCACGTACTTTTTCCCGTTGCCCAACAAGTTTTTCCAATGTAGCACATTCCAGCGCCACGTACACATTTCGAATCGACGAAGGAAAAATCGTGGACATATACTTTTCCAGCGTTTGACGCGTCCGCAAATGCAGTGGCAGGTCAGTCATAAGCACTGAGTACTGAGGCGCCTCCATCTTGCTCAGCACTCGATGGCGGTAACGTACGTATAATTTGTACTCCTTGGCTAACAATCGCATCGCGAATATCGCTATGACGAATGCAACGACTGTCGGTGCCCACAGTCTACCACTCCGTTCAGGTAAATTACTCATAGAAATCCGTGTTAGTGGGTCACTTGAACTTTGGTCCGTCGATGTAGTGACTGAAGCCGTTGCGTACAATGGGAATAGTACTGCCGAGCAGCCTACAGCCAGTAGTGCCAACTTCTGGCCTAGCCTCAAGAACCGAATGAATGTCAACGTGTCCAGTCCACATTTATGCAATATTTCATCATCCGACACTTGAAAACCCGTGAGAATCCAGCTAAAGGGTCGATCACGAGGCGGATTTAAAGTAGACACGTTAAAAACGTGTTCCTCTTGACGCCGACTGTCATAAACATGACGGAAACGTGTACGAAGACATTCAAAAAGCAGCACTCCCGCTACTAATATGGAGAAATAGATGGAAACACTGGTTTTTATGGTGCCACTTGGGTTGGCGTTCGCCGCTGCAGCATCTTGCTGCGTTGTGCTCATGACTGACCTCTTCAAGAAGAAGGAATACCAAACGGGACTACCCTGATAAGATTATTAGATTATTAGATTAGAGAGGTATGCGGTAATTGATTTTCAATATTTAATATTCTCTTGCATATTGTATATATATCATGATACAGAATCAAACTTAGAAAATTTCTAAGAGAGTTATCAGCTCCATAATTGTTGTTATCTTAGGGACCATCATTTGGACCACTATATTATGGAACTCATCAACGTGCAACTGTGGAAGTCAAAATAGCGTCTCCACTACTATTGAAAGCGAAATACTCAAGCTTTGCTCGGACGTTACGGCAATGCAGGAGCTGATGACGATGATATGATTAGTTTTAACTTCTCGTTGACCGACGTACAACATGCGTAACTAATGCTCGTCGCGAGACCGACGAGATATAGATGCTGGCGGCTTTTCTGGATGACAATTTGCTTATTGATTGTGCAGTGCTGTATACGATAAGGCAGACACGTTTACCATATCTTGGAAGCTGTCTCGTACGGTAGGTGGTAATTGAGTCTACTGCTACATGGATTACGTAAGCGTATCGAAGGCTACTGAAGGCCAGCACCTTAGATACCATGTCCAGGAGTCTGTAATCATGCGCAAACTGCCCTCAGATTGATGACAACTTGATTGTCCGCAGCAACGTGTCCTTGTGCTGCATCTTCCGACCATGAAGACTGTCAAATTAGGTTGAAGCGTTTATGGAGCGTTTACGACATATCAGTTGATGTGGTCATGTGGGCGACTATCGCAGCACGATGGATACGCTGTTTAACCTTCCATCTGCAATGGTAAAAGCCGAGGCGAAGAATATATCTGTCATGGTAGCCATCCAGTCTGATGCTTTGCGTGGCTCGAGCATCAAGAACCAGAGTGGAAACCATGCTCGATCTGTCGGGCAAAGATGAATTTGTTATTCTACCGCACCAACTGGTCGAAATGGCAGTACGAAGAGCAATAGCATCAGCAATCAGCAATGCCTCCGTCATGACGATGTCTTTCACCGACTCCGAGCTCTCGTTGTTTATCCAGTCATGGCAATCCAGTCTATTGTCGTCATGTAGTCGGACCACGACGCAGCCTTTATAGCTTGAGTGACCCTAGTGCTGCAATGGTTCCGCTTGATCGCAAGATACCAGCCTGATGAAAATTGAAATGCTATTGCGCGCACCTATGACCTGCCATATCGAGCAGCAGCGCATGAAGCAAGATGCCAGCGCTGATGGAAATCGAAATGCCACCGCTCTCACCTATGACCTACGAGATCGAGCAGCAGCGCATGAAGCATAATGCTGACTGGAGTATGCCGAGTCGGCGACAGCCTGGTACTCGTGAGGATCTATACAACCAAATGTTAAGGCTTTAAATGCAGGCTGGGGGCCTACAAAATTACAAGCCAGTATGCTGAGCTCGGAGCGATAGATTACTAGTGCTGACTTGTATCATGCAGCAAAAATGATTTGAGTCAACAAATATTTGTGGTTGTATGATAGCATGCAAGTTTAATATAGATGCACATAATTCCTTTTCGCAACGTGGTAATTCTGTCGTGTTGAACGCATTTTTGTTAATACAAGTATCCAGCTTTTGTGAGCTACATACAACGTGGCTGGCATCTTGATAAACAGTGAGCTGCTCCAGACGCTGCAGGTCTTATATTAATCAAGGTTCAGGGAGAACATTTGCAGTGCCTTGCTCGCGTATGGCTGAATTTTGCGTCTTGCGTCTAGAGGGCACGTTAGTTTTACCGAATTCACATAGTGACTAAAGCGCGTGGCTGCCCAGCGGTGCAATTTTTGGTCCAACTGTGGCTACTGTAACTACCACATCCTGCGCGTCTATCGTTGCAGTTGAAATTCATCATCTTTTGCTAAACGTGATAAAGAAACCACGTCTTGCAGCTTGCAAGCAGCAAGACAAATCTCATGAATGCTAAAATTTCCACAGGAGAATCTACAAACACTAATCTGAGGCGTCCACTGCTCCAGCAGATTGTCGAACTGATGTTCAAGAACCTGTCTTTCTCTAAACAGGCGTTGTGCATAAATAGCAACACTTCAAAAGGCCAAGTTCAACCTCCAACCTCGTCTATTGTTTTCTCACAATCTCCTTTTGGTCTGCTTCAAGGATCCCCACTCGACGTGGCAGAACTAACTCTGTTCGCACACACGATCGAGATGTCCCTTTCTGTTCGTAAACCTTTTTTTAAGTTTATGTGATGGGCCAGTTGCGCTGAAGTAGTCAAGTTGAAGCAAGCTATGATGACAATTTGTTGCACATGTCTTTAAAAGCATCAAAGGTTTGAATTTGGCAATGACTAGAAACGCTAATGTCCCGCACGCTCGACAAGTTTTAAGCAGCGACCTTGCAAAATTGCAAGTATATTATTAATGCGAGCTAGCGTAGATATGAGCCTGATGAAAAAGATTATTGGAAGCAGTATCCCTCAAGGAAGGCAAGTCACATGCCAAGTGTGTGCAGCATTAAGGGTCTGAAGACTGAATGATAGACAGGTAGGAGAACCCAAATAGAGTATTTAGCATAGAATTTCTAGCTTTTCTTATATAAATGTTATATGTTGCTGTCCCTGTATAAACTGTAACCTCCTAAATATCCTGCAGACATAGTTTTAGAACGGACATATCAAATGTCGTGACGTTCTAAAAAAAGGATATGTGCTAATAAAAATGAATTCTTTTTGTAAAATATCATCCAAACTACCGCAATTTTACATCCAGCAATTCGTTCAACACTTGTCATTTTACAAATTGCTTGGTCTCAAACACTCGTCTTGGTCATTAAGGACGAAGCCATTAATTTTAGAATCTGCGTTCTCTCTTGCTTTATCAAATGCATTCTGTCGTACGTCAGCGTCGATGTCCTATTGCGGCTTTTCGCGCTTCCTCGTTGCTGTGTCGTGCCTCCTCCATCTCTGAGCCCGTGTTCAACAAACGTGACGGCTCCAAGGGACAAATTGACAGCGCACGCGCCTTTATTGAGTTTAAACGCGAGGCGGATCCATACCGTAATGTGGTTGAACGTGTGCACGACTGGAATGAGATTACCACAAGTCACCGTGACCCGACAGAGCGTAAGATTCAAGCGGCCCGTTGTATGGACTGCGGCACTCCTTTTTGTCAGACAAACACGGGCTGTCCCGTAAATAATTTAATTCCAGAGTGGAACGAGCTCGTGTTTCGTGATGATTGGAAAGAGGCCATTGATCGACTTCATAAGACTAACAACTTTCCGGAATTTACAGGGCGTGTGTGCCCTGCACCATGCGAGGCCGCGTGCGTTGCTGGACTTGTGGACGATCCAGTTACTATTAAGAATACAGAGTATGCAATTGTGGATCGCGCTTTTGAAGAGGGATGGATCGTTCCACGCATTCCACGTCGTAATGGCCTTCGAGTGGCAGTCGTGGGGTCTGGTCCCGCTGGTCTTGCAGCCGCCGATCAGCTGAATCAAAAGGGATATTACGTCACAGTCTATGAGAGGGAGGATCGTATTGGTGGCCTCCTTATGTACGGTATTCCTAACATGAAGCTGGAGAAGAAGACGGTAAATCGTCGCGTAGATCTGCTGCGGAAAGAAGGCATTGAGTTTGTCACAAACGCTGAGATCGGAGGCAATATGCCTGTGGAGCAGTTACAAGCTAAGAATGGCGCCGTCGTGTTGGCCCTGGGCTCTACGGTGCCGCGTGATGTCGACATTCCTGGTCGGGATCTCAAGGGCATTCACTTTGCCATGGAATTCCTCACGAAGAACCAAAAGCGGCTGTTGCTGACGGTGGACGGGAAGCTGCAAAGTGGATGGGACCGTGAGTTTGTTACTGCAGAAGGCAGAGATGTTGTGGTCATTGGCGGTGGTGATACGGGGACAGACTGCATTGCTACGTCCATGCGGCAGCGTTGCAAATCGGTGATTAACCTGGAGTACAACCCACAACCTCCGGCCCAACGTGCCCCGGGGAATCCGTGGCCCGAGTATCCCCGCATCTATGGTGTTGACTATGGCCATGCCGAGGTGCGTTCTGTGTTCGGTGAGGACCCGCGTCAGTATGCTCGCGTTACAAAGTCGTTCAGAGGCAACGACAAGGGTGAGATTACTCACGTGGTCACCGTGCGGGGTGGCAAGGACCCCAAGACGAATACTATCACGGAAATTCCTGGAAGCGAGGAGCATATCCCGTGCGACCTGGTACTCTTCGCGATGGGCTTCGTGCACCCAGAGCAAAAGATTGCGGAGGCTCTTGGTCTAGAGGTCGACCAGCGCCGCAATATTCGTGCTGCGTACGGCGACTACCAGACGTCAGTGGAAGGCGTGTTTGCTGCTGGCGATTGCCGGCGTGGTCAGTCCTTGGTAGTGTGGGCGATAAATGAAGGCCGCGGTGTTGCAGACGCAGTGGAAAAGTATTTTTTGCAGGAAGGGTTTCACCCGGAGGTGTCTCAGACCCAGCGCTTTGGTTAAATCCTGTAACGTTGTGTCACATAACAGTGTATTGGTAGACAGCTGCATGGACGATCCCCTTCGAATGGTATACAAAGGCGATGGACTCCACAGTGAGGAGACTTAGCAAAGTAAAATATCGAGAGACATAGCGGGGAATGTAAGGTAGGTTATAATCAGATTTAAAATAAAAACCTATTTTTTAGCGGCGCCAAAAGCAGGTTTTAATCAAGTGACAGAAGCTTGAGTCATCGGATCTGTAACAGAGTTACACGACGGTTGTAACGGTTTCAGTTCTAAAACTGATACAGTAGTACTAAGTACACCATACACTGATGATTGGATGATTTCATATTCAAATGACAGACGATGGCATACTATAATTACTATTATAGTAATTCATCTAGTATAGGGTACTTAGAGTAGGATTATTCATAAAATCTTGATGCATATATAGCATCACTTCTCATTTTGAGTTAAAGATCACAAGTCTCTCCAAAACTTGTTCACTTGTGCACTTCGTGCG